CTCAACTACTTCTCAGTTTGTTTCTTTTTAAAGAGTGTGCGTTACAAGGAAAGCATGTGCTTTTTCAAAGGGAAGAACCGTTCAGTCGTGTCTTACGGATGAGCAGTGGTAACCAAAATCAAAGTAGGTTTGATGCGAAGTTCACGGGGGAGCTCTGTCCCAGCACCAGACAGCCAGGGCTTTCTGTCCCTAGAGCCTGCCTTCCTGCGGTTTCTAGGACCAGGAAGCCCACTTCTTTGTATCCTCTCTTCAGCTGCTTTACTCAGTGGTACCGACTGGGCAACCAGTTATCAGATAATCTTCGCAATTTAAAAGATAACAAGAAATCGAGACCCTGGAGGACAATCAGGCTCCAAGAGCCAGTGCGCCTCCTGGGCCCCGATGCAGGGAAGTCTACCGTGAGTTCTGTCAGCCCCGGGTGTAGGGTGCAGGGTGCTGGGTGCTGGGTCCTGGGTGCTGCCTCCAGGCTCTCAAGCCTTCCCGTGTCTCTGTCTCTCCTAGGCCATCGCCATAATGGAAGTGGCTCACGGCAAAGATCATCCGTACATTTCTGAGATCAAACAGGAAATTGAAAGCCACTGAAACTCCGCCAACACGCTAATTTTTGTTTAAATGCTAGCGCAGAAGCCTTCAAGGATCTGAATATTTCCGGGCGTACACATGACTCCTGCATTTCTGTAAAATCACTGGAATGAAAACCCTGCTTGCCCCTAAACCTTACCCATGGCTTACCTGAAGGTTGGCCTTCACCTTTACTCTTAGTACCAAAATAATTTTTGGACGCTTTTATTTCCCTAAGAGATAACGGCACGGTCTCACGTACTACCACGTGCTTTGGACCGACTGAATTTAAGAAACACGGCTACTTTTCCCTTCATGCCTCTTACAATGTTGTGAGCAAACCTGGATGATGAAAGAGAATAAAAAGGGTAATGGTGTTTGAAGTTCGTCTTATGTCTGGGGAGGATCTCACAGGGGCGGCGGGAGCCGCAGTCACACCTGTTCAGCAGGGTGGGGGGGTGAGGGTGCAGGTGGGGGGAGGCGTGTGGGCCGCGGTGGCTTTCAGGGTTCAGTGCCCGTGGAGGGGGAGAGAAGGTGCAGTGGAGTGACCCGAGGCCCCCCCCCCCCCCCCCCGGCAGGGGAGTGTGTCTGGAGTCTTCGGTCTGGTAGCTGGAATCCCTGTAATGCACTGAAGGGGCCTCACGCATGCTTCGTTCTTGACTTTTCTTTTTCCCCTCCTCCGCCCGCAAGCCGACTTTCCATTTCTCACTCTGTTGATTGCTGTAATGCAGTACCCTCCTGCCTTGGAAACACTCCAGGGTAAGCTTGAGAAGGGAAAAAAATTTTTTTTTTTTCCTTACCGACCCTGTGTTACTGAGCAAACCGTGATCTCTCCCTGCGTGGCCGGCAGGAGTCCGGCTCCCGCAGCCGGATGGCAGCCCCCGGGCCTGTTTGCTAGCAGGCGCGGCCCGTGGGCGCCGCTTCCCCGCGGGACTCCTGCAGGCCAAACACGGCCACTTCCCCACCCGCAATAATGAAAGCCCCGTGGCGTGGACGCCTCAGCTTCCCGTCACAGTCAGGAACTGCAAGCAGCTTGACTTCCTTCATCCTTCCGGCCTCGTGGACTCCCGTCCGCGTGCACGTCCCCCACGGACACGTGTGTCTCGCACACACAGCTGCACACAGTGGGCTGCAGGGGACACAATGCATTCTGTTCAGCGAAGTGCAAGAAGTTTATTGAACACCTCCTGTATGCAAAGCACCCTGTATCTCTCTCCAAGTGCAGAGGGCTGGGTGAGGCCCGGGTCCTGGCCGCAGGGAGTTTAGGGTGCTAATTTAGCCAAGCCGAAAATAAGCATAGGACCCCTCTCCCCATTTCTGTAGGTTTTATAAACGTTTTGAAAGTAATACTTTCTCAGTAAATGTAAATAATACTGGAAGAAAGCGAGCCGTTCTTTCTTCTTGTCCAGCCCCATTCCCCAGAGGTGACCCCTGGAAGCCCTGCGCTTCGGTGGTCCCGATTCTCCCCATCTGCCCATGTAAGGGGTGTAGGTAAATAGACGAGCAAAACAAAGGCAGGATGGTACTGACATAGGATTTCGCATCTCCGTCTCGGACTTCACAATATGGACCCCTTTTCATTCCAGCATTTGCAGATTTGCTTCATACTTTGCAGAGAACATTGCACTGAATGTCTCATAATTTACTCATTCTACCGATGGACGTGTGGCTTTTCCAGGTTGCTGGTATTATGGACAGTGCCAGAGGCACGGTCCTCCACATAGACCTTAGCGGCCAGGTGGTAGCATCTTGGGGCCTAGAGTCCTAGAAAGTGCAATCTCAGGACCCAGTAGTGAAAACTTTTGGAATTGGAATAAGTATGGCCACGGTTCCTTTTTAAAACACTGCATCGGGTACCAAGAAGATAGGATATTTGTAGTATTTGTTTTCCTGTACCATCGTAACAAGGTACTGTTTGAATTCTTTTTGCTGGTCTACTGTGTGAAGTGTTTTGTTTGCTGTGCATTGATGAGATTATTAATTGTTAATGAGATCGGGCACTTTTCTGCTGTAATTTGGAATGCCTGCGTTCCTGCTGTGAGTCGATATTCACGGCTATTGCCTATCTTGCTAATCAGGTCTCTCATAATAATTTTTTATTTTTATTTTTTAAAGATTTCATTGATTGGAGAGAGTGAGTGGGTGGAGGCAGAGGGAGAGAGAGAGAGAATCTCAAGTCGACTCCCCACTGAGCGAGGAGCTCATTGCGGGGCTTGATCTCACAACCCTGAGATCATGACCTGAGCTGATACCAAGAGCCAGATTCGTAATGCATTTTGGGCTATTAACTCCTTGCCATGTCCTGAAACTATTTTTTTCCCTGCTTGTCCATTCACTTTTTTACTTTTTTTCTCATGACACTTGCTTTAAAAAGGCAGATCATTTTCATCTTTTTTTTTTAAAGATTTTATTTATTTATTCATGAGAAACACAGAGGGAGAGAGAGAGAGATGCAGAGACACAGGCAGAGGGAGAAGCAGGCTCCACGCAGGGAGCCCGTGTGGGACTCGATCCCAGGTCTCCAGGATCAGGCCCTGGGCTGAAGGCGGCACTAAACCGCTGAGCCACTGGGGCTGCCCCATTTTCATCTTTAAATGAAGAAATAAATCAAATTTTTAAGTCTTTGCTTTACCTGCAATTATATTCTAGAAAGAGATCCAACTGTACTCTTTGAATCTGTGATTTTCAAAATTGCTAGCCCTTTATGGAAGCATCATTTACTGATTTATTTTCCTCTGCTGATCTGAAATGGTCACATTATCATTCCTTTAAGATTTAGGTTTATTTCTGTTTTCTTCATTATTGTGGCACCAGAAAATGTTTTGTATCTAGTAGGGCTAGTGGTTTGTGTTCCCTTGAATTGTTCTGACCATTCTCTCACTTTTAACCCTCCAAAGTACTTGAGCATCATTTGGCCAAGCCCGCTCTTGGTCTTTCCCTCCTCCCCCACAAACATGCTATTTGGGATTTATTAGAATTGCATTAGAGTGAGTGATAAACAAAGGGCTGACTTCACCATAATGTGAGTCTTTCTATCCAAGAATGTGAGTTATCCATTTGGTTAGGTTGTTTATATAGGTCCTACGCATTGATCTTCATTTCTAGATTTTCTGTTTTCCTTAGCTATTATGAATGAGCTCTTTTCTTCCATTATGCTTCTTAACTGGTATGTCAGATAACTTTTCCCCATTTATTTTTATTAAGATGTAAAAAGCACAAAATAGGTGTATTTGATTCATTGCGTGTTTGTGTATGTTTTCCTTATATTTATCTTCTGCTCTCCGGGTTTTCTTAAATTTCCTTCCTCAGCTCTGCTAACAGTCTGGAGATAAACAGGTCTACTGGTGATTACTGTTTTATCTCAAAATTATACGATAAGACTACTTTTTTTCCTGTTTGTTATCCAAAGAAAATAAACATCTGTTTACTCAGTCCATGGAGGAGAAAACAAATTAGCGTATGTACCTCTTTTCTTTCCATTCCGCTTCTCTCCACTTCCACCGGCACTTTTTTTTTTTTAACATCAGTCTTTTCTTTCAAGAACTATAATTGTTTTGTTGCCCCATTGAACGTACACCCAGACTTATTTGTATAATTATTTCTATATTTATTAATTCCTATATTTAATTCCTATTATTTAATAATTATATTTCTATAATTATTTATATAGAACTATTTCTATATTTAATAATTTCTATATTTAATAATATATTAAATTATTTCAATGTAATGCTTGCCATCCACTTTCCGCCCACAGTGGCCCACGGTATTCTCATTTACATGGCGTGAAATAAGCTGGGACCTCAGTGGGTGAACTCCTTGTAGTGTGACCGGGCATAAATGGGTTAACACAGAAGTGAATGTGTTGCCCTGTTACTCATCAAAGATACATGAAGAAAGTGTCCACCCTCATCACCAGGGGTTCACTGTGTGTCTACGGCAGTTGATGGGCTGGAAGTATGGGCAGGGCAGCTTTCTTAAGACCTAGACAGGAGCTGTTAAAGGACACACCAAGAATGTGTCCCAGAGCAGCCCGGGGCCTGCCATTGCCACGCGGACAGTCTGGGGTCTGAGGCAGTGACAGCTCGGGGAAGGGACCTGATGCTTGCTAAGGGTTATCACAGCATCTGTAGGAAAGATCCCTTTCTATGTATTCTTCACTCCACTTGCCTAGTGATCACCCTCGTCAGGTGTTTTGTTTTGTTTTGTTTTTTTATAGCCACGATAACTTTGGAAGTTTCGAACAAATTCTTCAGTACCATCGAGTTATACAGGAATGGAAGTGGGTAGAAATAAATGGGCTTTAAAATGGTAAAAAAGCAGATTTTACCAGGCCCTTTTGCCTATGAAAATAATCCTAATAAGTAAAGGATGTGGGTCCTTTCATCTAACGCAAACATGCAGGACACAGAAGAGAGAAGATTCAACTGTTTTCTCTGAAAAAAAAAAAAGGTTTATTGTATATAGAAGTCAATAGATATCTTTTACAAAAAAGTTAGAATAAAGATCTCACATTTGTAAAGGCACATATGAAACATTTTACAGCAATGACAAGGGTGGTGAAAACATAAACAATACGCAACTAGGACCATTATCTAAAGACTTTATAAAAACAGAAGAAACAGTGCAAAAAATACTGTCAAAAGTCAGTTTTACACACCTCATAACTGTGTATAAAACTGGCAAGCATAAGCTTATTTACTGATATAAAAAAGCACATAGAATAGCATGCATAGTTTTATTTAAGGCTTTTAATATTATTAAATTGAGAGGGAGGCTATACCAAATTAAAGTTGCCATGAATATTAATCACCCCCTGACGTAGGGAATGTCCTATAGACCTCTCACTCCCTCTCTCGCCTGACAACCACTGTTTGTAGCAAAGAGAACGGACTTGCACCTTGCAGGGTAGCAAGCGGCTACCCACAGGGAGGACAAGGGTTGTCAGGATCCCCAGTCCCGACCTGGAACGCGTGTCTCACGGCAACACCACCCGAGGCGGTTACATTTCCAGGTCAGCTCACGACAGCCAACCACACTGGGCTGCCCACCCTGCGTTTCAGCTCTGTCCGAGTCCAAAGGCTTCCGTGGGCTGACCCAAGGGCCTTAAGAACAGCCTGGTGTCTAAGCTGGGGACTTGTCCCGACGTCGTTTCAATAGGAAATCTACGAAATGCCAATTGTTTCGAATGAGACCCCGATTCACAACATCTTGTAAAACACAGACAAGGAAAGCATCAAAATACTGAGTTAAGTAACCCGACGAGAAGTCCAGTGAAACAAACCACATTGGCCTGTTATTTGATGTAAGGAGAATCACACAAGGTTATATGTTTAAATAGTCATCTGCATATGTAAACTGTTCTCGTTTTCCCATTTGAGAATCCTCAAGTCAGTTGGCTATGGAAGGAACGAAGGACACACACAGGAAATCATCTCCGATGAAGAGTGACCTTGCTTTTAAAATGGTTAATAGATTTTTAAGACCCCAGACTGGCAAGAGAGTTTAGCCAAAGGAAATGGCAGTAACATTCTACGATGTTCACGTTGAAAAACAAAACAAAACAAAAAACACAAAGGCTCTGAATTACAGCTTTGGGTTCCCTGCGGAAGGTAGTTCTTAGCTAACACTGCAGTTGAGGGAGGTGGGAGGCCCTGGGCAACGTGCAGACGCCCCTGCTGAGGGCTACCCCGACTCACTCCAGGCAGCATTCCTGAGATGGGGGCGAAAACAGCTCCGCCCCAAGGACGAGAAGGCCCGACCCAAGACCCGACCCGACCTTCCCGCTCGCTCCTGGGAGCCCCCTGGGACCCTGCGGTCAGGGGAGCAGGTGTTCGCGTCTCCCTGAGGGCGGCTGGGGGAGAAACGGCAGGAGCAGGTGCATGTGATGAGCGTGTCCTGCCCCTCCCTGGACACCTGCCACCCATCCCACCCACGGTGCCGGCCAGGCCCAGTCCGAGGGGAGAGGCCAGGCCCAGTCCATGAGGAGAGTCTGAGGCCCAGTCTGAGGGGAGAGGCCAGGCCCAGTCCGAGGGGAGAGGCCAGGCCCAGTCCATGAGGAGAGGCCGAGGCCCAGTCTGAGGGGAGAGGCCAGGCCCAGTCCGAGGGGAGAGGCTGCGCCAAGGGAGCTGGTCAGGAGGGGGCAGGTGCTGCGCGCACCTGACCACATGGGCCACCGGCCACCGCAGCCGCTGGGACCGCGTGCAGGTCCCCCTGGAGGGAAACAAAGTACCTCTGCTACCCGCGCTGCTTCCGCCGGGGCTGCTCATCGACTCCATCTGCTCTCACGTCCCCAGTAGCGAGGAGCGGCCACGACCCCGACCAAGGCGGGGAGAGGGGGGCAAAGGGCAGCTGCATGGTTGCTGGCAACTTTCCAGCTGTTTTCCATTCTTTCTGGCCCTTTCCATTTGCCAGATCTTGATCCTTCAAACTCTATGAGCTTTTTAGAATTAAAATTCGATTTCCTAACCGTGTAATTTAGGCCGCCTAGGAGGGCGCTTCTGCCGAGGCTGCGCTATTCTGCAGGGCTCGCGCGGGAAGGGCGGGAAGGCAGAGGGGAGAGCGGACCGACCGTGCGGCGGGGGCAGCAGAGCCCTGAGCCGGGAGGTGCTCCTGGCCCCAGCACGGTGCCTTCCCAGGACAGTCCTGCCCAGGGAGACGAGGAACAAGTGCGGTCGGGGGGACGGGGACCCTGGAGCGTGAGTGTGCGCCCCGGGCTCGCAGGGAGCCGAGATGCCGTCCCGGGGGTGAGGCGGTGGGCAGGGCCCTCTGCCAAGAAGGCCGGTGAGCGGGCACCCCGGGCTCACACCCGAATCCTGGAGCTTCCCCAGCTCTCCCAGGGCCCTGAGGGCCATTTAAAAGCACGAGCAAGGGTGAAACCGATCGGGACCCTGCAGCCGGGCCCTCCGAGGGGTGCTGCGGCACACCACCCCTCTGGCCTCGTTTATGACTTCTCTAAGCAAGCCTATGGCATCTTGGGGAAACGAATGACCCTGATGGCCCAAAGCACCGCAGAAGACACAGTGACTTTCTATGCAGATGCTCGTCATAGCCAGGCTGCGCATCAGCTCTCGCCCTCCTGCCTTGTAACGAAATGTCCTTGAATTTATTTTTAAAATAGAAGGGCTGACCGAAGCTCTGAACAATAGGAACTGATGCACATCCTCCCACTTCACTGCACCAAACAACAATAAACTATCCGGTCTCATGCAATCGATTGATGCCAGATACTCAATATGCCAGGTTCTTGGACGTTTTAGTAGGGAACATTTTAGTTTGACCTTGCAGAAGATGCAGTTATATTAAGCTGGAGCTAAAGGTAGTCAGCACAATAAAGGTTGCATATTAGGTAAGTTGGCTGTTGGGTTTTACAGAATTCCACGAACAACAGTGACTTTAGGGGCAACATATTTGGATGGGCAGATATGATTGGATAAACCCTCATATCTCTCTTGTTATTTTCCAAAGATGTATCCCTTAGGTCTTCTGCCCCCAAATGTCTCAGAAGCCGAGGCAAAGACAAGAACCATTCTATTTTCTTGCACAGCATCCAAGGGAAGCTTCAAACATAATTTAACATTTTAGAGATTTCCACCCTATAGGGCCAACTAATTTGTCATCCATAAGGCTGTAGGCCACTGGAAAATTTGTGCAGTATCCATGGGAAACCCAAATTTCTCCATCTGGAAGCAGCACTGGATGAATTGTTACTTTGTTCTTGCAAAGAAATCATGAAATAAGAGCCTGATGGGCATCTGGTACATAGGAATAAAATTAAACAGCAGCAGAAGAGTCTTTGGTCAAATGTGAGGAAGCTGAATTGCCCAAATAGGGCTGCCTAAAGATCCCAACAGTGATTACTTGGTACTTCTTGAAATCTCCTCTTCTAGGACCCCAACAGTTATTGCCAAAATGGAGGGGGAATGAGGATAGATTATCAGTAACGTAAGTCTGACCCAATCCCATCCCTTGTGTCTCAGCCCCCTTGCACATATCTTAGACTCCCCCACCACAAAGGGATGGACATATTTCCCGAAAAAGAAAGTCAACAGCTATACCTGCTTTCACCGTCAAACCTGTCACTAGAAGTGGAGGAATGAGATTCAAAAAGCACATTCTGTTTTCTGGCTGGGGACAGCTTCAGGTCCACACACCGTGTGCCATAAGCACTGTGCTAAGGCCTGCTAAGTTAACACAAGGTGTACATCAAAAAAAGGTGGCCACCGAAAATCCCATAGTGATGTGCCTGATGGCCAACCCTGCCTATGAGAGCGTGCTAACATCTAGGTGTACTAACATCTCTGCAGACAGAGTGACTTCCCAGCCCCAGGAGGTGACCCATTCACTGAGTGCAAAGCTCATTATGGCAAAGCCAACTCACCCACTTCACATGCTTTTGTGTTTCTTAGCCCTTGTGAGGAGAAATAATATATGGTGTGTTGCAACCCCTACTCTATCAGGGAGAAAAAAAATACTGTATGTATTAGGTTGACTCATGTAAATTTTCTGTCACTGTAACAAAAAATGGTCCAGCTATTGTCATTTTCACATGGTCAACCTGTAATTAAGCTGAAAAGATGAGAGAAGTAGGCAGCTGGATAAAAATGCTGACCTCTTGAGCCCCCCTGGAGTTTAAAACAACCTCAAAAGCACAGAGTAGGCAAGATAGAGGCTAAGTGAGTATTGGGAAAGCCAGTGGTTGGGTCCCACAAGAACCCTCTCAACAGGGCCCACAATGCCCCTCCGACCAGGCTGATGGAAGAAGGGGCCAGAGATGGCCAAGTGAGTCTTAGGCAAGCAATGGGAGATAAATAATAGATAAAAGACTAGTTCCTCTTTGTAATCCATGATCACGAAGATTGTAAAAGTAAAGTTCTCTCTATTTAAGCTCCTTGGAAGCATATTGCTCAAAATATTCCATGTGGAGAGGTTTTCACCTTTCCTGATCTTACTGTTCCCCTCTCACTGAGAACAGCTCATTCCTCTTTCCTCTCCTGTAAAAAAAAAAAAAAAAAAAAAAAAAAAATCAACGTTTGACATCCCTCTCGAATGCAGCCAAATCCTCCCTTACTTCCCATCCAAGGAAAGAGGTGTGTGTAAATGTCAGTGCTACGGAAGGTGGGGTCTCCTTGGAGCCCAAGGGAACCAATAAGCCCAGCAGGCCCAGCGCAGCTCAAGGATGAAGACGCCACACTCAGCCCTGCCATCCAGGGACAACAGTTAACCAAGGACAAACGCTGGCTCCGTGTGCCCAAATGAGTACGGATCAAAGAAATAACACATTTCAACTGGAAAACTTCAAAACCAGAGGCCCCAAAGAGTTGAATGGCTTTGCTGGGAGATGGTTATCTCTTTTTTCCCCCTCTATTTTTAATTTTCTCTCTTCAAATCCAAACAGAAAAAAAAAAAATAGACCCCGACCGCTCCAGCTTCAGACTTGATACATCATCAGGAACTCATTCCAAAAGCTCTAACTAGATAACTAATTTAATACACTTTGCTTCAAGGTTTATTCCTTGGCTTGCTTCCCAGATATAAAGCATCTCTGGGCAATTATTATGCAGATGCCACTAGAAGGACTTTCAATGCCTGCTGCTAATTTCACAGGAACTGTGCTGGCATTCGCTGGAGATGGGAAAAGGAATGCAAAATGCGCTACAGAACCAAAAACATTTGTTTTTAAAAATGAAATATGTGGAGTAACTTTTAAGTGGTTTCCTTTGGGTTTCGATATAAACTTTGGCTAGGAAATTGGACAGCAGACCCACTTCTTCCCTGCGTTTTGTGCATTAACAACTATTCCCACAGCACCAAGTGACAACAGTGGATGGGTTGAAAGGAAGAGCATGTGTGATGAGCTCAAAGAGACGGCAGATCTACATGCTGCCCACGTGAGACTCGATGTTAACAGTGCCCACGTTGGGGCCTGAGAGATGAAAAGAGAAATGTTTGTGTCGTGCACCAGATAAGCCAGTAACCGCAGACCAACTCCGAAAACACTCCTCACAGCAGACCATCGCAAGGATGGAAGAGTGTCTAAGGAAAGGAAACCCGCCTCTTTGCCTGTCGAGGAGCCGAGTTCTGAGCATCTCCCAGTGAGGGTGCTGAGCTCTGTTCCGTTGAAAACATTAAGTCCAACTCATGGTTTTCTAAGCACAAATACCCAAATTCCAGCATCTCTAGAGTATAACTGAAGTTACCCTCCTTGACCGATTCTTCAGTCTCTGGAGTAGAAGAGAGGAGCCCCTCCATCACCAGATACTCTGAGTCTAAGTGAGAGACCCACCACCACACCTGGCCAGACGTGAAACCGAGTGGATGCCCAGTCCAAAGGAGTTCATCGGGAATCCGCTTCCACACCCCTCTGTTGCTGTGTGGTAACCGGATGTCACACAGGCTTGCTCTTTCTGGTTGATCTGATGCCATTCTTTCTTAATATTTTCAGCTCAGGAAAAACAAAACAAAACAAAACAAAACAAAGGCAGTGGCGGGGGAGGGCATAATGGAACACCCACAAATGTCAATTCTAAGAACAAAACCACAGTTTAAAAGTTGCATTCAAGAAAAACTGGACAGCAGAGAGGCAAAGTGCCTAAAATCCAGCTAGTGGGAAAATGTGTGGAATATGATTTACTGTGTACTGACCCAAGAAATTCAGGACAGGGATCCCTGGGTGGCTCAATGGTTTAGCGCCTGCCTTTGGCTCAGGGTGTGATCCTGGGGACCCGGGATCGAGTCCCACATGGGGCTCCCTGCATGGAGCCTGCTTCTCCCTCTGCCTGTGTCTCTGCCTCTCTCTGTCTCTCATGAATAAATAAATAAAATCTTAAAAAAAAAAAAAAAGAAAGAAATTCAGGACCAGCGTAGGCTCAGGAAGAGACAAACGGAACCAAGCTGCAAGGTGACTGGAGGGTGGGGTGCCTGGAAAACAGGAAAGCAGTGAGGGGCTTCGTGCGAGACAGGTCCCAGCATCTTTCATCCAGTGGCCAAAATTTGGATTACAGCGTTCTGAGTGGGCTTAGTTCTGCTCTTGCAGGCCAGAGCCTGGGGGGACAGCAGCACAGCTGGGAGGGGGCTCACCCTCGCTGCGGTTCCTGGCCAGGGCCCTGCCACCTGAGTGCCAAACAGCCCCCATAAATCAGCGTTCCCAACTGTTCCCTTTATAACCTTTCCAGTGACTTGGTGACTGATGGAAAGACAGAATGTACCCAGCACCTCGACCTGCAGGCCCCCGTCCAGCACACACATCCTATTTAAATAAGAAACACCATCAAGGGCCTGCCCGTCTCCTTTCTCTTCCCACTCCGGCCCATTATCTTCTCTCAATCGGGCAAGAGGCCTAGCTGCACAGATGGCCTGGCCCAGAGCCTCAAAGACCACCAGACTGGGGTCCACTGAGTAAACAGGAGTAGTAGCGAAATATTGAGGGTGCAGTCCCCGGCAGGGAACACGGGGCCCCAGAGTCCAGAAGAAGGGGTGTTGAGAAAGGTACAACCCAGAGCTCCTCGTTCAGCTGGGCAATGGCCATTACTGCATCATAAAGGCCGCATTTCTTCTAGCTGCTCCTGTCTTTAACTCAAGCTGCTGAGGACGAGGGCAGAAAGGAAGAAAGGACGCCAGTGTCCATCAAGGCTCAGGAACCCCCAAATACAAGAAAATAGTGTTTTTTGTTGTTGTTGTTTTCCTTCAGGGAAGGGCCTTGGCCCTTATTTTAGAACAAATTCATTTTCTTGCCATCTTTGATTTGGACATGAGCAATCAGGCCGCTGAATTTCAGGCTTGGCTACTCATCTGGCTGCAACTTCACTAGAGATGTGTTCCCTTTATGCCTCTGTCCCCCAAACAATCCACCAGGCAACCTTCCCTGACATATTTACAATGCAGATCAGTCAAAAAAAAAAAAAAAGGTTCAAATGAAAAGTACTATATTAATGGTGAAAACTGCATTACAATGATTCACAAAAATTATCCAAAAGGGGAAAAAAATAAATTATCTCATATAAAATAATATATGATGTTTGTGAATAATCTTGGCTCCTGTCGTCAAGGAGCCGATGACCTGCCTGCTCTGGCCATCCGCGCCCTGCTGGGGGAGCAGATGTTGTCTGGAGGTGCCTCCCCATCTGCAGATGGAGCTGGGGCCCTCTCCCAGTAGCTGGGGCGGGGCGGGGGAGTTAAATGAGTCTGGAGTTTTGGAGGAACTGGATGAGGACTTGGTAGACAAACTTGTACTGAGTGATGGTCTGGATCATGAACATCCTTTGCTCCCTGAGGAGTCTCAGCATCATGGGTACTTCCACTTTCTGCAAGAAAAAAAAGCACAGGATCTTAAGATGAGAAAGCCACCCTGGGGTCCTTCCTCACTTCCCTGCCCAGGAAGCTTCTGCTCGCCACGCATCTGTAGGTAAAAGAGAAAGCAAAGGGCTTGGCCCCTCTGGGTCTTCCCAAAGACCTTATACTAGCCCCGGGACAACCTGGCTGTCATGTGTCACTGGCACTGGTGGGATATCTTAAATCCACACCAGTCTGTTAGGAAAACCCACCCATTTTCAGAAATACTACCTATTCTTAAGTGTTTGGAGTCCTCTCTGGGATACTAGGCTGCTTCTCAGCTTTCCTTTGCTTTTTTAAAGTTTTTATTTAAATTCCAGTTAATTAGCATACAATGTAATGTTAGTTTCAGGAGGACAATGTAGAGGTTCAACACCTCTGTACCACACCCGGTGTTCATCATAATAGTCATAGTTAGAGGGAAAACCTTTCACTAAAAGATATATTGAATATTTTTTTTTTTTATTTACGATAGTCATACAGAGAGAGAGAGAGAGAGGCAGAGACACAGGCAGAGGGAGAAGCAGGCTCCATGCACCGGGAGCCCGACATGGGACTCGATCCTGGGTCTCCAGGATCGCGCCCTGGGCCAAAGGCAGGCGCCAAACCGCTGCGCCACCCAGGGATCCCGATATATTGAATATTAAATGAAATTGCCTATGTGTCAATTCTTTGAGAATATAGAACCAGCTTCAATGAAGGGAATTAATGTGGTGGGTCATCAGTGTTAGAGCAGACCAGGGGCTCAGTTGAGTAATGTCCATCTTCCTGGACCAGCCAGGCCAGAAGTATCATGGAGTCAGCAAAGCCACTGTGGCCTCAGCTCACTGCCCCCACTCTGGGAGCTCTTCACCTGGGCAATACTACTCCCATGAAGTTATCAAGGGCTGAGCAACCACTGGAGGTAAAACAATACAAACTCAGCTGTATGGCTTTTTTTTTTTTTTACCTTTTTAAAATTTAAAATTTTAGTTAAATTCAATTAGCATATAATGTATTATTAGTTTCAGAGGTAGACATCAGTGATACGTCAGTCTTATATAACACCTAGTGCTCATTACATCACATGCCCCCCTTAATCCCCACCACCCAGTTACCCCACCCCCTTCCCCACCTCACCTCCAGCAACCCTCAGTTTGTTTCCTATGATTTATAGTTTCCTGTGGTTTGTCTCCTTCTCTGATTTCGTCTTGTTTTATTTTTTTTCCCTTTTCCCCCTATGATCCTGTTTCTTAAATTCCACATATGACTGAGATCATATGATAACTGTCCTTCTCTGATTGACTTATTTCACTCAGCACAATATTCTTTAGTTTTATCCATGTCATTGCAAATGGCAAGATTTCAATTTTTGATGGCTGAGTAGTACGCCATTGTGTGTGTGTGTACACAGACCTCTTCTTTATCCAGCTGTATGTCTTTTCTCATCTTACCTTTACAAGTCATTTCAGCTATTTCCAAACTGTGTACTATGATACAACAGATGTCAGCCTTATTAGTTGCTCTTCTCCAAAAACAGTTCAATAATGCAAACCACAGATTTAAAGGGGACCAAGTCCCCAGTAATAAAGAGAAAAAGGCATGTGGATCCTTAAGCTGTTTGCCAAAATGTACACCCTACGCCATAGCTGCTGACTGACGGGTCCTTGCCTACATGATACTCCAAAGTAACTGATACCATGATGTACAACCTAGAGGCACCTAATGATGAACTTAAGTAAGAACATAGTGCTTGATGAGCATGACTGAGCTGGGCGCTGAAGGTACAGGAGAGATTAAAGCTGCTTCTCCCTGTTCCCATCAAGGTTTTGACAGGGAAGCGGTGTCACATGGAAGTTAAGAGCACAGGCCCAGGTCAGGCTTCATCTGCTGAACCACAGCCTTCACACTTCCTGGCTGTGGGATGTGCACACTTCCCTTCATTACTTGTGCCTCAGATTCTCCTGGTCACACAAGGGCATTAATAGGACCTCTCTCATGGGGTTATTGTGAAGGCTACTTGAATTGTAAGGTTCCCAGAAGGGTGTTGGCACATGGTAAACCTTCAATATAGGTTGGCTGTTGCTGTAATACTGTCATTGTTGTCACTGTCATCACCACCCCTTCCACCTCCACCACCATTGTCTCCTGAATCAGCAGCACTTCTACCACAACCTCCACCATCACTAACACCATCATCTCCTCTACTATCACACCTATCTCCCCTCCATCACCTCCACCACCATCATCTCCTCCATGATCACACATCTTCCTCTACCTCTGTCACCTCCAGCTCCACCACTTCCACCTCCACCTACCACCATCATGATCATTGCCATCTCAATAGCCTATAAAATGCAGCCCTAAAGACATCTGGTAAGGGGCAGTTTGGAGACAAGATAAAGAAAGTTCCCCTGGAAATCAATGAGAGTCCTAGTTGCCTTGAGGATTCACTCCCATAGTATCTGCTGTCCACTGTCCCCAACCCCAAGGAATCATACGCAGTTTGCTCAGTTTTGTCTAGAAGGTGTTTTTGCCTCTCAACTCCAAGGAGAAGGGATAACATTCAGAAAAGCAGCAAGACAAGACATCTCATTAGTTGGCTAGTGAGAACCTAACCTTTTATAATGAGCTAATCTAGGACAGAGAGCTAAATACAGGGGGGCAAGAGAGTATCGCAAACCATAAAACTAGTGGTTTCTAAAAAAAAAAAGGTAAAAGCATTAAAATGTCAAGCTAACATTCAGTGGTCAAAAGCAGTGGGCCACAAAGAGGCTTGTCAGAGCAGCCTGGGAGACTGCCCTCCCATTCCTACCTCACAGCTACCTGACCTTACTGTAGGAATCTTTTTTTCCCAGAGCGGGAAAAAAGGTATTTCACTGACAAAATTAAAACTGTATGAATTACAGACTAAAATATAAAGCATGCTAAATCCAGAAGCCATGGAAAGAAGGCAGAAATGTCTAGATAGAAAAACAGACACACCATTTCATATTTACTTGTCAAACTCTTTGCTTAAAAAACAAAAAAGCTAAACATGTTTCCACGCCCGAAAGAAGGGTTTTGAATCTTAGCAGCCAGGTTTGAAGCAGAACAAAGTCGAGAACTTTTTTCCTCCCCTAACCGTCTACCAATAGCAACGATGGGAAACGGGACAGATAAGGCTGGCTATATTTGTGCTAGGGGAAGGGAAGTGAACAATATGAGTCATCTTGCTATCTTTGAATATCAATGGGAACAGAAGTCCTTTTTGGATTGACCATGGTCCAGCAAAGAATGTTCTGGCGTGCAACTGGGCATTGAGGAAATCCACTATGTTTGGACACACTGTAGAGAATTTAATCACCCTGAGCCCGCACCAAGTCCATGCGAGGCCCTAATGGCCGAATCCCTCACTCAGCACCACACTGGCTCTGACATGTGCTGTTTATGTTCTATCAAGCCAATAACATCTGGTGGCCAATGAGCCCTCATGTCATCACATTACTGAGGCTCAGCTTTTGATGGGTCTCCAAAGAGCTCAGAACAGAACCATCTTTCATGTCAGACAAGATGGACAGAAGGAGAGGGGGGTGGCGGGCAGAGGAAGAGTTCACAGGGAATGGAGAACGGAAGGGGACTGTGGGGAAGAAAGAGAGATATTGGGGCAGTAAGACAGCTAGGTGGGGAGGGGATAACAATGAGGCCTTTCCTCTTCCTCTGGAGCTCAGTGGTATCTCCGGCGGACCCTGGAATATACTCAGGCCATATATACCCTGATTGCACACCCCCCACCCCCACGGCACAGAGTTGATTTGGGACTCAGTGGCAAGCTATTCAATCTACTAGACTTCTAGTAGTGACAGGAGAGCAAACAATCAAGAAATCTCACCATGTGAGACAGAAGAATAAAAACTCACAGAAGATAACGAAATTCCTGTTAGCTAGCCTCAGCTGTTTCTATGATAGGCATTTGTTCATCAATAGTGTGTCTGTTTGTTTTTAAAAATAGCCATTTTTGCTATAACTCAGAATCTATTTCTTTAAGATTTATTTATTGATTTGAGAGAGAGAGAGAGAGAGAGAGAGAGCTGGGGGTGCCGGGGAGGCCAGCGTGGGGCACAGGGAGAGGGAGAGAGAAACAGACTCCTCACTGTGTGCCGGATCCTATGGCCTCGAGATTATAAACTGAGCTGAAACCAAGAATCTGATGCTCAAACGCCTGAGCACCCCCAGAGCCCCCCAGTTCTACTTTTTAGCAACACACTGATATATATGGATTCAAAATTTCCAAAGTTAACTTCACATATGCAGAGGGTTTAACAATCCTTTGAACATGTCCAATCTTGGTATTTATTGTTTCAGTATAACAAACTTTGTGGGGCCATATTTAATCTGATTTTCAAACCACTGATGCTACTGAGTAAATACATATATGAATTTTTTCACAGGTTGTGCATTATAACATCCCCTAACTTAAAAACTAATGAACCGCTTCAAAGTCTCCTTGGATTCTCCAAGCTGTATAATTTGAAAATGGAATAAGAACTGATGACACCTGGCATCTGGAGACAAGAGTGAGGACAGGAAAGACGAACTCGGGACCGTGGGGTAGAAGACCTCACGTCTCACCTTAGCACCACTGCTTAGAGCCATGTGGCCCTAGACAAGTCACTAAATTATTTCTGAGCCTCCGTTTCCTCATCTGTAAAACGGAGGGACTGACATGTGCCCAGGCCCTCTGCATGCCTGTTATGAAGACCCCAACTAAAAACAACAACAAAAATAAGCGAAAGCCACTTAAAACCTTGGAAGATCCACATGTTGAGAAGGCAGAAGCATGGTTCTTTAGCCTTTGATTGAGGTTCATCTCATCCGCATGAAATCAAAAGCCCGTGTATGGCTCCCTGGTCTTCAGCAGCAGGGAGACACCATAGGCGCAGCCCACTTCCATGGGGAGAAGAGCTAGGTGTCCAGTGTTGGCAAAGGCAGGCCACGTCTACACCCTCCAGTTATCCAGCCTGCAGTGCCAGCCTACTGCCAGTCTAAAGAATCCTCTTTAGATAGAACCTCCCTCCGAAGAATGAAAAACACAGATCAAGAATACACATTTTCACATGGGATTTAGGCCAAAACACATCCCAGAAATGCAAGTAGCATCTAGATGACCTGTGACCGGCTAACCCACCGTGGAATACGACCCCCGCAACAAAACTGGACCGTCTACAAAACACCACAGACTTCTGGAAGCAGACGCCATGCAGATCAGACTTTCTCAGGGTTTCCTATCTCCCACTCATCTCTTTCTTCTGTGGGTTATCTGGGTGTCTACACTGAGCAGAGGGAGGTGAAAGATAAGAAAGGCTGTAAATGGCAGAGGCCTACTAGGAAACAGGGATCTGGAAAACTCTTGTCAGGAGACAGGAAATTAAGCCCTGGAAAAGAAAAAGGGTACAGGGGAAGGCTTGGCTGTGGTGTAGATGTGTCCCCAAGGTGGAGTATTCAGGAAAGCCTAGAATGACTCACTTCATTATGCTCCAGGCAGTAGATCATCAGCTCAGAAAGAATGACCACGCCGGTCCGCCCCACCCCGGCGCTGCAGTGGACGACGATGGGAGGATGCAGGTTCCGGGGGCCTTCCAGCATGCTGTTGGTATGGCGACGGACCGACTGGATCTCCTCCAAGTAGGCTGCAAGACAAAAAATGCAAATCTGCTCACCAAAGTCCTACACAGCTTGGCATACAAGAGGGGGAAGAGGAAAAAAAAAAAAAAACCCAAAACCTAATGGTGATTCTTTTTCTTTCTTTTCTTTTCTTTCTTTCTTTCTTTCTTTTTTTTTTTTTTGTAAAGTGACAATAATTTACAGTTCTTACAAGACACTAATTATTTGGCTGGTACCCACTGTACAAGTCCTGGATCCAGAGAGGACCAGCTGGGAGTCAATTAGTCCATGGGAGAATTTGTTCTTTATATTAAATAGTTCTTTTTTAAAAATTAAATTCTGTTTTCCCCTCTGCAAATCCCAAAGTCCCCCAAGCAGATGATTCTCGACATTACTTACAGCAATTTCTACTATTAACAGACCGGGATCAGAACACCAGCTAGGTCCCCTTGAAACGCCCGCCTGTCAGAGCCAATTTCTGGTGGGAAGAGCATCCATCTGCCCCTGCTTCCTTCCCCTCACCGAATGAGTGAATGTCAACGGAGGCTTGACTTCAGTTTTAGATTTAAAAATAGGCTATGGGGGTCCTGCTTCTCAGCTTAGATTCCATGTGGTTTATGTAAGATGCTCACGAGGAGCCCTCCCCTTTCTGGAGGCAACATGTGTGCGGAGTGGAGGGGTCAAGCCACATCCCTCGTCCCTTCTGACATCTGCCTAGCTCAGCAGGGCCACGCGGGGGGCTGTTCGCTACTCCAATTGGGCGCGAAAGAAAAATTATAGCAGCACAAGCCTTAATGACTTTTTCCTTTCGTGGTCAGGAAAAAAAAAAAAGGAAAAGTATATAAAATGTAAGCCTCAAACAGTCCAAGAGCCGGAAACAGTCAGTTAGTAACAGAGGCTTGACAGTAGCTAGTTCGGGGGAGACACCGATTTAAAGGTTCCTGATACACAGAAAATCTCATCCCAGTGCAGCATCGTAAAATAAGACTAGGGGAAGCACTCAGATTGTTGAAGAGAGAAAAAAAAAAAGTGTAAAAAAAAAGTGTGTTCAAACCAGTCTGGTCATTTAGAAGCATCTGTTTACCTACAATTAATATGAACTCCTATTTGCCTTTATAACCTCCTGCAATTACAAAGGCATCTGAAGTAGTTTACCAAAATAGACTACTAATACCAACCCTCCACCACCACCTCCGCCACCAGCACCATGACCGCCAGTGATGTAAAATGATCTGGGATGAAACAAAAAAGTGGGAAGGCAACCTGAGATGACCAGAAAGAGTAGTTACTATCCGGGACCAACGGGAGCTAAGGACTGTGTGTGGAATCTTCACAATTTTCCTCTAAGAGGGGAAAGATATTAGGTGACCGTGGATTCTCTTCTGACAAAAAAGGCGATGTTCTCACACAAAAGGGAGGTTTTTTTTCCTTGTGCTAAATTCAAGGAGAGAAGTGAAAGCAATACTGATCCATAAAGCAGATGCTTCCACCACATGGAATTTCATAAAACAGAGAAACTGGATCACAACGGATGCTCTCTCTAGCAATCATGTTAATAAAGTTCTTTAAGCTGTGACTCGGTGAAGACTTCCCCGGGCTGGAAGCCCATGTGTCCTAAGTCCCCTGCCTCCAGGGAATCTAATTTAAAGGCCAGCAAAAATCTTTTAAATTCCTAAAAATCTGGAAGAGCCAACATTTAGAAGCCCCCACCCCCACCCCACCTCAGCACATTGAGTTTCTTAGAAGTGTAAATAAATTTACATTGTTTAAAAATATTCTCTATGGCAGTGCCTGGGTGGCTCAGTTGGTTAGGCATCGGACTTTTGGATTCGGCTCAGATCATGATCTCAGGGTCATGAGATCGTGCCCTGCATCGTGCTCTGCACTCAGCGGAGAGTCTACTTGAGATTCTCTCTCTCCCTCCCCCATTGCCCCCTCCCCCAACTCTATCTCTCTCTAAAATAACAAATAATTCTTTAAAAAAAATTCTCTATGATTTTCAGTAATTTAGTTGGGCTTTACTTCCTTAAACTGGTTCTGATTGAAAAGATCTAACTATAATTTTAATCACCTTATTTTTAAAAAAATTTATTTATTCATTCATGAGAGACACACAGAGAGAGGCAGAGACGTAGGCAGAGGGAGAAGCAGGCTCCCTGCAGGGGGAGCCCAATGTGGGACTCCATCCCAGGACCCCGGGATCATGACCTGAGCAAAAGGCAGATGCTCAACCACTGTGCCACCCAGGCACCCAATTTTAGTCACCTTATAAATTCAATCTTCTAACCCAGAGCTGTTTGCCAATCACCAAACTGATCTACTTTTATCGTTTCCCTTTTCTGCATCTTGGAGATAATTTTAGTAAATCAATTAGCAAAAGATTACCAGAAAAAAAAAATAACAAGAGCACTGTTAGGAGGAAGGAAAGTTCTACAAAGATCCCTGCCTTCCTTATGAATATTTTGAGCTACAGATACGTGTCTGACCTCAGGCAAGACAATAAGCCTCTCTAGATCTTGCTCTAGGTCCTCTGATTCCCATCAGCCTTCTGTTCTCGTCAGTGACCCCCCAAGTACCATCATCACTGGCCTAGTGGGAAATGAAGTATTTGCATCAGTGAACAGGTATGCATCGGAAGCTTCCTGTTGGAACTTCTGAAATGGTACTTCTGGGTTCTCAAAAACGTATTTTCTCTCTCTTCTCCTCTCTGCATATGCCAATTCTAAGGGAATATCAAAATAAATTCAAGGGTTTGACATTATCCAATATCCAGATGATGTTCCCATCATTGTCTTCTGTCAGCTGGAGAGTTGACAACACAGCAGGTGATCAATCTGCCAGGTGAGGAAGGAATGGGATGTCCCTGCAAGTGCAGGACAATTAAGCAAGACTGTGGAAAAGGAAGGGGGAGCGCTGGGGACTGTTGCCATCACCAGAAGGCAGACGGCAGTGTCAGATCTCACCCCCAGACTGTCCTCAGCGGCCTGCCTCTCTCAGGAGGCTGTGAGCGCCTTCAAAACGGACTCTTTCCTGCACTCTGAGAGCCTGACCCACAGCCTGGAATGCAGTGGGCACACACTCAAGTTTGGGCTTTTCAAATAAAGTACTGCCTACATATTCTAGGTCAATGAGCTGCTAAGAAAACCATACTCTCTGAGAAATATATATAAATTGACGAATTCAAAAATGATAGTTTCAAAAACACCAAGTTGGTTTCAGTGATTGCCAGTATCTTAAACAGGGGCAACGAGGAAGAATGCATTGAGATTTCTGCTCTAGGGAAATGCGGGGCTTATGAGATGCAAACCCCCATGAAAAATTAAATAAGTGTTTTTCACAGTGTTGTGTAACTATCACTGGCATCCATTTCTAGAACTTTTTCATTGCCCCAAACAGAAACCTTGTACCCATCAAAGGGTAACTTGCTATTCCCTATTCCCCCCTTCCTCTGGCCCCCTGGTAACCTCTACTACCCTTTCTACCTCTGTGACGTTTCCTATTCCGGGTACCACATTAAATTGGAATCATACAATGTTGGTCCTCTTGTGTCCAGTTTCTTCTACTCAGCATAAAGTTTTCAAGGTTCAGACATGTGACATCTATCAGAGGAGCTCTATTTTTAATGAGTACCTAAAGGTCTACATTAAGATAGAATGAGCTAATTTACCACAGTTTCAGCTTTTTGAGTAAAAGCTGAGGAGACTATGATGAATGACATGTATTATTCTGCTCCGTTCATACCATATGCGGGGATATATACTGCAATGATTTCATACTTTTGCCACTTATGAGAACGCATCCTCTCTTTCCCTTTCACTCCCAACTGATGAGACCACTGATGCGCTGGTAAAATTCTAAATGGGAAGAAAAAAACTTACATAAAAATCCTTGAACATCTTCTGGGCAGCCGTGATCCGGCCAGTCGGTGTACTGCAAATGCCACACCGTCCTTTCCTGCCCAGACAAAAGGTGCTTGACCTTCAAGCCTGTGGTTGCATAGCAACCAGAATCTGTTCGGAACTTTGTGGTGACCTTGAACTTGCCATAGGTGGCCGAGCTGTGCTTGGAACCCAGTTTGGGCCAGTATCGGTGGCTCTTGGTTCTTCCGCCTTCCTGAATCACACACAAAAGCAAAATCAGAAATAAGTCAGGGGAAGGTCTCGTCCACCTAAGCTGAAAATCTGAGGGCAGAGGAAATGTGAATGGCTTCTGGGCTGCCAACTCATGCATTGTGCGGTCCCTATCACAGAGGAGATCCCACGCATCGTGGCTAAGGCCTAACAAGATTTGCCACGGTAGTGACAGCCATGAAATATTCAGAAGATTCACAATTGAGCTGCAGCTGAACGTGATGGGGTCTATTTTTAAGGTTTGCACAGTTCAATCACTGGAGGGGGCGGGGGGATCAGATGGTGGCTTAGAAGGAAACCCAGAACAGGAAGGAGGTGGAGACAGAGGAGTGCTGAGGGGACAGAGTGGTGGGAGTGCACGTGAGCGCTGGGGGCTGCTCTGGGGAGGCGAGTCGGAGCCCTGATGGTTCCCTGCTCCCGGAGCAACACATCCTGGGGGGTTGGGGAGGGGGTGGGTGAGTGGGGAGAGTACAAACACTCCCGCCCTGATTCATCTGCTTGAACTCTCTTAAGTCTGAAGCACACCTGCCTGGTTAATGTCCAATCTTGTGAAAGCAGGCTTACCTGAGGCTTTAATTTATATTACTGGTGAGTGTCTAAGCTGATTACAAATTCCAAGAGACTGTAAGCCTCCAGCTGCCACATGGATCACTAGACCTCGTGTCTGTAAGGTTGGCACGTCTGGTCACTCAGGTTTCAGCTCACTTACAACCTCCTCAGAGGGCCCTCGGCTGCACATCTACTTTAAGGCAGATCCACTCTCGTTCCATCCCTGCTCCATCTCCTTCAAGATGGTCACCCCACTGAGCTTCCTTTGTTTATTTTATGTTAGCCCTCCTCCCATGAGGATGGAAGCTCCCTGGGGACAGGGATCATGCCTGTCTGGTTGGCCACCACCTGCCCCTGAGGTCAGCACAGATGACACACTGCCTTGAGTTGAATGAATCCCTTAACAGTAATGTGATCTGATCAGAGGATAAAACGATTCTAGAGATTTTATGGAGAATTTACTCATCGTGGGAAAGTCAAATGGGTCAGCTGACAGAAGTACCACTGGCTGTAAAGGGCTTGAATTGCCCTTCACCACTATCTTCTGGAAAGCAACTGCTCAGAATGGGGGGGTGTCAATGAAGGAAACGTGACCCCCCCCCAGTTCACTGTCCGCTCCTCACCCTTTAAAAATGTGTGGGAAGGGGGTATGTATGCCTTACTGCAGATATTGGTGAAAGACAGATGAGGCTAGTCCCTTAAATGACTTCAACACATAAGCTAACATTTCATGAAAGGAAGCAAAGGAAGTGGTTAAAATAGAAAACTGAGAATGTGACAAGAGAAGAAATACAAAACTTCTTTCCTTAAAGACAGCAAGCTCCGCACAAACTGCTAGGTTGACCAGTGGTGTGTGCCAGTTTTTAATAACACCATGTAGAGTTCTCTAGTTAGGACAGAAAAACTATGTTTTACTTGGCAAAGAGAGAAAAAAGCTTTCTTTCCCCCCTCTCTCCAAAGAATAGAGACCTCTACAGGAACAACAGTTTCTGGTCTCTTTTCAGCTGATAAGCATGAGGGCGTGTGGGGTTGGCCATGCCCGAGGTTGGTAATATGTGCTGATTTACCCACAGCAGCCCAAAGTTCTCACTCGAATTCCAGGGGAAAGATTATTGCTTTGTTTGGCACACAAAAGTGAGTTGGCTGAACTGAAGTTCAGTTCTTATTTGTTTGTTTGTTTGATTGACTTTAGTTTAATGGCAATCTAAGGAAAAGAGTTAAAAAGCTGGATGAAAATGGGATACGATAAATTATCTTTGGGAAATAAAACAAATCTATGTGGGAGGAGAGAAAAGAAATGCATGCCAGAGAGAAAAGGATTTGCAGAGAAATGGTGCTTAGGAAGCAGGACAGAGCAGCAAGGTCACCAGATGCAAAGCCTATCTTCTGGCCACCCCTCCCTCCCCTGGGAACAGATGGCTGTATGGCCAGTGCCCTTACCTCTTCGGCAGTGACCATGGCAATCACGTTCACTCCCTGCTCCCACACCATCTGCCAGAAGTCGTGACATGTGTGCGGCAGGGGCCCCTGAGTGGCTATGTAGTGCCATTCCGCCCCACCAACCACCACCTGGAAACCAAGGAAAGCTTCGGTAAATGAACCCTGAATCCAGGACAGCATTACCTGCTGAGCATGGGTCCGTTTGTATCTACCTGCAAACCCTGGATAATATTTTTTAGGCCAAATGGGTTAAGTGCCATTATTCAAAAGCCCCTGGCACATTCTTACACAAAAATACTTTTTGCAAAAAAAAAATAATGCTTTTTGCCACTCAAACCTATTAAAATACACCTAATCTTTCTTTCCTGTAATTTACAGTAATTATATACAAACCAGTGCATGTTAAACAAACACACACACACACACACACACACACAAACTCAAACTGGTCCTGATCACTAAATTGACTTCACACCCCACTATTATATTGTGATCCACAGTTTGAGGCATAGTACTCTCTAGTATCCCTTTAAACAACTAAAACAAAGTGTACCATGGAATAACATCCCTTTGGAAGCGATGTCTTTGTACCAGTGACCTGCTAGGAACTGTGTCATTAACCTCCGCTGTTTCTGCTACTCTGTGGTGCCACATACGGTAGAGGTGTGCGGGGTGCACTTACATCAACAATACGTGATATTTGATTATTAACTTCCCCTTGTGTGGTACCACAGTATCCAAACAAACTGTGGAGCCATGAGATGATTTTGGATAATAAAATTATTACCCTATGCGGCTCCGGGTGATCTTGGAAGGCTACTTCTGCAGCTATAAATATCAGTGGCAGAGAATCACGAGTAAGTTGTGCCCAAAAGTGTTGAAGGTCATACTGTCAGGGTGAGGTAGTGCCCTTTGGGGGGCATTCTTCCTGTGTTCCTTTCCATTCCTGTGCCCCTTGGCATTATTACAAAGTCAAGCCTCCTTAGACATCCACCAGCGCAAATCTCTAGATAGTTCTTCGGAGCATGAAGTGATCATTGTTTGAATTTTTTTTCCCCTCATTTATTTTATAAAACTATATACTAACTGGATTCCAACAAAAACAATGTCAGTTATTGTCTCATTACAGAAGACTTGTTTAGGTCAAAGCTGGCAAGCAAAATCCATTTTCCAAGTACTGGTGGGAGATAACATTCATATATTGGCTGGCTGGCTAGGAGTTTCGTTTATCTGTGGAATTGTGATTTTAAACATTAGCCTCTCTGGCACCCAACATATAGGAACTATAAATACTTCCAGAGTATGCGGCTGCCTGGGGCCTTTCGACAAATTCCAAGTATTGACAGGAGGGCATTAAAAACTGCATTAAAAACACAACAACCAATGCTACTGAGGTAGATTTCACAGATGTGATGATTCTACCTCTGGAGCAAATCAATCTCTGCTCTGTGTTAATAGCTGCTTGGAACCCAGGGAGAAAACATTGGCAAGATATACAACTCTATTCCAAAAAACACAAGGACAAGTTCTTGCAAGCTCGATGGGTCTATTAAATGCACCCATGTCTAACCCTGATCCACAAGATGAAATGTAAGCCTCGGAGAATACAGAGGAAGGGAATGCTTCTGTTAACAATACCCAATGGGCACTCTTGATGCAGAGTGACAGCTTTTGCAGAGAGCAGATGGAAAATGATGAAGGATATTTGGCCAAAAGAAGAAGACAGTACGATGTAACTATATAAGATTCCAAAGACATTCTATCAAGGAGCAGCTGTGTGATTTGTATCTTTGTTTGATTCATTATTTTGGTTATTATTTCATCATCTAAATTAAGCCCAGGAAACGGACCATAGTCAGTTTACTTGAGAGTTTCCTGAGGTTCATTTTTTATAGCTTTAGTTCTCACTCTCAAAGTTAAACTAAAATACCGAGCATGACCCATGATAGTTATTCCTTCACATTTTTTGACCATATTCTCTGGTAGTTAACAATATACATATAGCTATCTAGGTTCTGTGCACAAAAACCCTGCATCCAACCACAGTGTTCTTTTCATATTCTGTTCTGCAACTGTTACAATGGAAACATGCACCAGACATCTGGCTATATTTTAGAAGCTCAAAGGAATCTACCAAAAATTCAGCTCCAGTTGGAAAGTCCAACGAAGAAAGGGAGTAACTCCAAACAAGGCCAGAAACAGATTTCTAAGGTTATGATCATAAAAGACTATTAATGTGAACTGCGTATTATTTAAAAACATCCTGTAACAACTGCTTTAATGTTAGTATATGAATAGATTCTCCCACTTTTAGAACAAACAGTGGCATTCTAAAGACTGAGGAAGGTACGCCATTTAGGAAACGGCTAACCATACGTGCACGTATCTATAACTCTAAGCTCTAGCTGGGCTTGACCTAAGCTAATTTTAAAGTTGATGAAATCCTGAGACATGAAAATTTGAAGTCTCTGGAATACTAACAAAAATGGAATGGTATTCATGCCCTGAATGATGTGGCAAATCTTGCAAGATTCATCATCAACCACACCTCCAGGGCTTGTGTTGAAATGAGCCCACTCCTCTAAATAACGTGTAAATTTGGACAACACGTAACCTGTAGTAGTGCAGGGGGGAACTGGTAAGTTTCTGTTGCTCTTGAACATCATAAAAACTTCAACGACAGGAGAAATACAATGCCCGTGACTTCCAAAGTCTCTATCAGGTGCTAATTATAAACCGAAGGGGACAATCCTCAGCTTTTCCTGTGAGCGTTAGGGAGAGTTACAACTCACACAGATAGAGTGAAATCCTCTGTGGTGAGCAGGCTTCAGAAATAGCTGACCTGAGGTTTTCCTTGAGGCTGCTGGGCTTCCTTCTCTCTGCAGTGATAGGCATGCCCTTCCAGTTGACTAAGAATCAGGGGAGTTCAAAAACACTCCCTCAGGGGCTGGGGACAGGCCAAGATGCTCGGTCGGAGCCGTGCAATTTTTTCCTTTCTGCATTTTCCACCTCTAACCCAGCAATCTTCCACAAGCCTCCCCAACACGCTTCCCTTCTTACCTTGATATGGGAGGCATTAATGTAACCTGTGTTATTCTCTTTGGTCGGGATCAGCTCTACTCTGTTCTCCTCATAGGGGACAACTTCACGGATGCGGCTTCGTTCGGCATTTTCTGGCAGAGCCGCTGTGCTGAAAATGCCATTCGCCTTCTTCTTTGGAATTTGCTCATATTCTGTGAACACCATTCCCTCTTCTAGCTTTTTCTTCAGGGTTCTGAACTGCAACAGAAATTAATCTTCAGCTCTCTGGATTATCTTATCCAAAAACTCCAACGAGTCAGATTCCTTTAAATATTCATAGTGATCGTGTTAATAAGGAGTTTCAGGAGGTACAACGAACGAATGCTTGATTATTTGGTCTCATTATTAACCACACTGCTAGTTTCTCTGGCCCAATAACCAAGTTCCTTCTCATTCATGCTTTAAACAGAACCAGCCAGGCAAGAGCTGAAATTCAAAAAAACAGTATTTTCGGTATAACACCTCTGCTTAAAGTCCTAGTGATTCCTTAAATGATTCCTCTAAAGTCCCTTCTGCCTTTAAACCTTTCTAATACTTCATATATACTGGCAGAAATCTCAAACAGGAATATTACTAGCACTCCATTAAATTTACATGTGTTTCACTGGACAGTAATTTTAGGAACTAAAGGAGCACACCTTTCTTCACTTCCAAAACACCACCATGCAGCTTCTTCCTGCTTTTCGAAACCAACATTCTCATGATGCATTATCCTAAAAATTATAAATCAGCCGTGTTTTATAGTCAACCAAGGGGACAGTATATTAAAAGAATTCTATAAATGTTTAGGTAAGATATTCACTCCCTGATAAAGGGTAATGGTTTGCAAATTTCATAGAAGTTCAGAAACTACAGTAATGGCTTAACTTCCTCATCTTGCAAAAAAGAGAAACAGGCCCAAAGAAATGAAGTGACTTGACCAAGGCAATGCAGCTTGTTTCAGGCTGGTCCCGTTAGGCAGGCTTCACTACACCAACTTGACAAAGAAACTTGAGATGCTGGAAAGAATCGATTTAATACAATGCACACCAGGTCTTGCTAATCTCAAATTGGAGAATTAATTCATCAAATAAACCTTAGTGCCTGCATGTTTGGGCAAGGATCAAGCTCTGGAATCCCAAGACCACAGAGAATGAATCACGTGTTTGACAAGCCCAGCGCTTACCCTCTCGTCCATGGGAACTCGGGTGGCATCAGCTCGATTCTCTTCCCGCCCCGAGACCCGGGCAACTGAGAGTCCATTCAACGCTGCCAACATGAGCGGCCGCTTCTGTGCCTCCAGGCTTGCCATCTTCTGCTTCTCTAGATTCTTGTGGCAAGAAAAGGCATGTTCTCATTGTTTATAATACGAGTAGAATGCTGGAATGTCTTTTAATCTCCCCAAATCTGTAACTGCCCAGCCAAGGAATGCAGACAATCACCATTAGGAGGGCAAATTCAAACACAGCCTTCCCATTATTCCCACTGTGCCTGAGGTAGCCAGGTCCTACAGGACTCCTGAGCTTTTATCTAAAAATTGATGCATGAATGAACTAACAAACAAACAAGTAAGAGCAAAGACTACCTACAAATATCCCCCTGCCATGGAGCTCACTCAAAAAGGGGGCCGGGGGAAGCAAAACAGTGTACAAGCAAGACATTTCAGGAAGGTAAGGGCTGAATGAAGACAGGGCAAGGGAAAGAGAAACAGTTTTCATGAACAATTCAATCCAATCACAGTGATGGACCTTTTATACAGATTAAATGATTTTTTAAAAAAAACCTTATAGATACCACTTGTAGCACTGTCAAGAAATCCAGACTCATAACCCATACAGGAAAATCTTCCCAAGTTTCCATTCTGAGAGGCTGAGATGGAGGATGTCAATCCTATCCTGACGCTCTGGTCCCTGGGATGGCATCCCCAGTATGAGGGCTGATGTGGTTTAGCAGCCTTGCCAACACCAAAGTCTGTGGTCGTCTAACATGATCGATCCATGAGGCATTATCCTTCATGCTGCATCAGAAGGCCCCAAGGAGTAAGCACCAGGGATCCCAATGACCATGGTGGGAAATTACTGAACGTGATGCAACTATGGGAGAATACAGCTTTGGGGGCTGAGCAGGCCAGTCAATAGGGAAAGGGTTGGAGGTCAACACATGGTCCTTGTGTGTGGTATTTTGACTTCCTCTCCATCCTCACCTGCACCAACATTCTGAAGTTGATCAGTCAAGGCTCTCAGTGTTAAGTCTACTACTGTAATTCCTTATGCCTCCCCAAATGGACCGAGGTATAAATCTCCTTTTACCCAGGCAAGCCAATAAGAGCATTTCCCAAAAATAGTTTTGTCTTGGAAGACAGAATAGCAGGACTTCCGAAAGCATACAAGCCGAGGAGTTAGCATTTAAGATTTTGATTCTAACAAAAGTAAAACCACTTTGTAGATTCCTTTGGCTGCCCCAGAGGAAGGGGTCATCTTATCCCTTGGTTTCTTTTCAAGGCTTTAGGATTTTTTTTGTTTTTTGTTTTTTTCTTAGTCTGTCATGTATAAATTTAGTCCCCAGTGAGATGTGATGATGGAGCCATGGTACTGGCAGATGACAAAGAGTTAGTGGATTATTCTAACTGTGGGGGGACGGGCTGGCATTTCCACCTTACATGAGGTCAGCCTCTCAAAACCTCTTACAGTCAGAACGGAGCTCTGGCCTTTCTGAGTGATGCTTTATTCAGTGACAAGGCCAACCCATCAGACAAACTAGGTAACCAGGGGAAAAAATTATTAGTTACCTCTTTTAATTGGGAACATTTCACTTGCTCTGTGACATTCTGAGAAAAGCAATCATTTTGCAAGAAATGTCCCTAAGGTCCTCCAAATAGTCCATCTGCTTCCTTCCCATCTGGATCGAAGTAGGCCTAAGGCAAAAAGTAACTAACTTGTCTTCTCTGGAAGGATTACTAGTTACCTGCTGAATACTGAAATCCCAGGGATAAACAATTTCTCTTAGTTCCTTCTCACTTATCCCATCAGCTTGTTACCAGAGATAAAAAGTAAGTAACTCAAAAACCTGATTTGGACTTTTCTCGTCCTGGCACCCGATTTTGGGCTCCAGGGCTACAAACAGTGAAATGGCCTCAAGGCAGCAGTAGGAGCCAGAAGGAGGAGCTATCACAAAAGCAGGCTGGAATTATCCATCAAATAGATGAGTGGCTCCAAAGTTATGGAGAGCTGCCTGCAGGGGACATTCTCACCATCCCTGTCCCCCTCCGGTTCCCATTCGGTTAAATTTTCTCACTGTTTTTTTTAGCCTAGAGAAGCCTGGACAGCCTTCTCCATTCTTACTCATTCCTAACAAGCCAGGCAAAAGCTGCCCACAGTGGGGAGGGCAGAAGAACATCTGAGATGTGGGAAGGGCATGGGAGTAAGTTTCCTCATTAAAAAAAAAAAAAATGGATGAAGAACCATCCCAACCTTCAGAGTCACTGGCAGTGTCACCATCTTGCTCACACAGTGGCTCACTCTTCAGTGAACCTCCTAGTCCTTCTCTAGGATCAAGACACCAGCTAAGGGTAGTAGTCCCTGAGCTCCTGAGTATATTTAATTTGGAAAAACAGAACAAAAAAATGGGAAAACGAAGTAGGAATGGGTAATGATGTTCCTGAGCTACAATTAAGAAATGAAACCAGTTATTCATTATTGTTCGTATGAAAGGCGGGGGGAGCACACAGTGGAAACTCCCTTGCATCTCGGTGATGGTGCATGAAGCTCTATGTAGGAAGTCGGTGCCATGGGTTTGGATACAGGGTTTTGTTGAGTTTAGGTTAACAACAGGAGAGGATGAAGATGACCAATGTGAGGCTACGGGACCATGCAGGCATCAATAAACATCAGATCAGCAGGGGAAACAGCAAAGCAGAACGCTTGGACTCACAGGTTCTCGAGTTGTGGTAAAGGAGCCTGGGCCAGGACGTGCTGAAAATCCATTTCTACCAGTGCATTCATTACTTTTTCCAGGCTGGGAAAGCTCTCCCCCAGGGCGCCACCCCCGTGTTTCATTCCATCCCCCAGCCAAATGGTTTTATTGGCCAGGGGCACAGGCATATCTTTCACAATTTCCCTCTAGGTTTGCAAAAAGTGGAAAAAGTTATGCCTGTACCAAATTCTTAGCACTACTCTAACTCGTGGCCAAAACTGTGCTGCTGGGAATGTTCTGAAAATTTGTCGAAAGTAGTAATGTTCCTACGGATTAGATTCCTGAACCCAAAAACGTGGCTTTCTTAAAACTTTGGTCCTTAACTGTTCTCCTTAGTTTGATAATCACTGGGGTGCAGGGAGACTTCTAGAGGAAGGGAGCCTAAGAACTCCATCAAAGGAAATTTTAGCTTGCAACTGTTCTGGAGTTCCTAAAATAAGTGCCAGCTACCCTATGGTAGAAATGTGGTACCTGCAGAGGAGAAGTCAATATGGGTTTGATGACTTGTAATGAAATGATTCTTTTACTTTTTTTTTTTTTAAGATTTATTTATTTATTCAGAGAGAGAAAGAGGCAGAGACACAGGCAGAGGGAGAAGCAGGCTCCATGCAGGGAGCGCGACATGGGACTCGATCCCGGGTCTCCAGGATCACGCCCCGGGCTGTAGGCAGCGCTAAACCGCTGCACCGGGGCTACCCGATTCTTTTACCTTTTTAAGGAAATTTCTAAAACAAGTAGTAATGGTGATCTGAAATATTTTTTAAAGTAGTAACTACAGGGGTGCCTGTGTGGCTTAGTCATCTGACTCTTGGTTTCAGCTCAGGTCATGATCTCAGGGTCATGGGATTGAGCCCCTAGTCAGGCTCCGTGCTCAGTGCAGAGTCTGCTTGAGATTCTCTCCCTCTCCCTTTGGCCCTCCCCTTGCTCGCTCATACTCTTTCACTCTCTCTAAAATAAAATAAATAAATAAAATCTTAAAGTAGCAACTACGATCTAGCAATTTTCTCATTACTAGGAGATAATGCACTTTGTTGGTCTGTGTGTGCACCTGTTACCTATACACTCTTGTTGTGACAATATACCTGGTTCTCCAGCTGGTACATATCCTGAGTAAGAGTTATTTATGTCTAATATCAGGCATCTCCAAATGCTTTACGTGTGTGTTTATGCACGCGTATGTTCACATGCATGTGTGTGAATACTGAGAGAATGAGCTTAACGGGGAACTGAAGCTCAATGATGAACTTGTGAGTTTACGGTAATGTTTATGGTTTGTGTTACGCATCTACTGAAAGAAAATCTGAAAATAAAGCCGAACACGTCATGGTCCAGTCATTACTGGGGAGCCATCTCTGACATAGAGCTCTCTACACAGAGCTGCGCTCTGAAGGGATGTTGCTCTTTTACTACATAATTGGGGGAAAAAAATGCTTCTCCCTAAAAGAACCAACAAGAAATGTAGGAAGGAGAGCTCCCAGCAGCTCACACAACAGGACGTCTGACCCTGAATAAAGAGCACAATGTTGGCCCAAACAACCTGCAGCATCCTGACTCCACTGTGGTGCCTTGTGCCAAGCACAGCAATTAGAAGGCCCAAATGAAAATGGAAGATTTGACTGAAAGGGGAAAAACGAAAGTTTTGTGAAATAAAGTACTGCCCGTTGAAATGCCAACTGATGCTCTAATTGCTCTAATTCCCTAACACATTCCCTGGATCAGCCTCGCACTGCCTTAGGTCCTGGTGCTTTTACACCCTGTGTCATGGGGACGCCGACACTGCCCCGGAGCAGAGGACACTTACCCTGAGGGCCATCTCTCTCTCTACGATGCTGTCTTCCAGGGAGAACATCTCAGACACGGGTCTCTCCTTCACAGGCTCTTTTTTGACCCGCTCCTTTACGCTTGTCAGGTCGGGTTCAGAGATGGATGGGCCCAGGGAAGGCCCAGCCACTGCCAGCTGGTCAGCGCGGGAGACGCTGATGGCCTTGGCTGGCCCGTGTCTCAGGACCCTGGCCCTGGCCATGGCAGGAGGCAGGCTGACCTGGTCTTGCCGCAGCGCCCCATTGCTAACGCTTTTCCTTGGGCCAGGGTACTCGGGTGGGGGTTTGTTTGGGATTCGGGCCAAGGCCGCCTGCAGCTGGGCACTGTACCCCATCTTCTCCCGGAGCACAGGGATCTGGGGCACCGATCCCGGGACCTCCTCCTCCTCCTCCTCGCTCTCACTGCTGTGGATCAGCATGGTGGCGTCGGAGAAAGTCTTCTTGTGGTGGTAATGGGGAAGCTGGTGGGCCTCGTGGCTCCCTGGCACCTCCTCGGGTGGCCCCTGCTCCCGGAGCGTGTTTCGGCGGGCCATGGGGATATTGAGTGACTTCAAGGTCATGGCTTCCATGCCCCGCACCATGCTGCTCATCACCTCCAGGCTGTGGCGCTTATTCACTGCGCCGTGGTGCTTGGTGGCCGTGAGGGGCTCGCTCACCTCCTGGAGAGACTGGTGCACCACCGGGGAGCTGTCCTCCTGGAAGGTCTTCACGGACAGCTGCACTTTGCGGGTCACCAGGTCGGGGCTACTGCCGCTGACGTACTTGTGGCGGTGGCTGGCGAGGTCTGGGGTGCTGGTGGCAGGGCGTGGCCGTGGGTAAGGGGGTGGCGGCCTGAAGAGATAGTTTTTGAGCATATGAGCCGTGTTGTAGTTCTGGGTGCCTTGGAGCTGCATGTTGGCCAACTCTGGCGTGCTCACCGTGTGGGAGATGGCACTTGCCCCCGGCTTGCTCGGTACCGAGCTATTCTTTGGGTTTATTTGGTCAGATGGGCTGACAAGTTTGTGACCATAGCCTCCCTGTGGCCCATAAGGGACAGTGTAGGGGTGCCTCTCCCGCATCTCGGGCTGGCTGTACACCAGATCCTCCGGCTGGTTGTAGGCATGCGTATTGATGATGTTGAGGTTTCGCAGAGACTGGCTCTGGCTGTCGGCGTGCAGGACCCCCCTCTTCATCTGCCGCATGACTGTCTCATAATCGGGGGTGGGCCGGTAAGATGGCACGATGATGGCGCTGTGCCGGTGGCTAGGGATGTAGTCAGCCCGCATGATGTCACTCCCTGGGATACTGAGATTGGAGGACACAGGAGAAGCCTGGATGAAACTCTGGGAGCAGCTGAGGGAGTTGACGCTGTGAACACTACACACGCTGCCATTGGTGACGGTGCCATTTAAATAATTTAAGTCCAGACTGTTGTGAGAGTTGTAATACAAGGCTTCTTCATTCCCGTGGAAAATGCTGTCTGTAAGAAGTCAAACAAAGGCACGTGAGCCTCCACATCATCCTGCTTCAATTAAGTTCATTCTCACACTCATGCACATGGTTTTTAGAAGTCATTAAAAGTGAAATTCTGTGGTCTCCACCCACATATTCCATGAAAAAACTAGTAACTCCTGGGTGAGAGGCCAACATACAGAAGGAACACTTTAAAGCATACTAAAAAGAAAAAGGGAATCTAATCAAAGAACGCTATGTACACCTTTGGAATAGTTATCACCTGGGACAGTTCTTGACTTTGTCATGAGCTTTGAAATTAGGCACCATCGATGGCCCTCACGGTGGGTAAACCTGTCTCCTTGTCCAGCAACAGGACTGGAACATTTGGGCCAGGAGGCCAAGAACTTTACCAGGGCAGCAGATTTGAAGTTACGGAGTACCTGCAGCTCCTGTTCCTGACTGCAGTGGGGAAAGGTCCCCTTACCCGAGGGACCGCTGAGCATTCATAAAGACACAAGGGATGCAGTCAGGGTGGCAGCATGCATGGCTAGCTTGTTCTGAGCAGCAACCAGAGGAGCGCAAACCCAGAATCAGGAGTTCTTTTAGCCACTGCCTAAAACTCTCCCCTAGAATTGGTTTCATCACTGAGGTCAATTCACATTAAAATTAATGGTAGTTTAAGGAGGTACCTACAGAGATAAAAAGTAGATTTCTGACGTCAGGCCCATTCTGGGTGTCCAGGGTTCCTTTAACACTAATGCTCATCCACGCACGCACGCGCACGTGCACACATACGCAGCCCTAGGAAGGCAATCTCTTGCCAAAACACTGCTTTTGGTGGGCAAAGTACATTCATTTTCATACTCAGATTCAAGCACGGACAAAGTAGAAGAGGACACAGCAGAAAGGCAAACAAAACACCCCCACCAACCAGAAAAGGTGAATGAAAACACTCGGCTGCCTGAAGAGGAGTTTGGCACAGGCCAGACGAGCTGAGCTAGATAAGAGAAACTGGCAAAACACAGAGACGAAGGTGCCCACTCATCCACCTCTAGTGGGGTCTGGTGCGTTCCCACAGAAGCTGGGCAATTTTGCCAGTCTGCTTGTAAAAAAAGTAGTGTTTTATTAGACAGTCTTGATTATCTTCGTTTCCATACCCACACTCTGACAGTACAGACAGATTCAAGATAGCCAGCATATGGTAACGCGGAAACTAATTATCCACCTAACATATTGTCAACATCTAAGTTTAATATCGTTCCTTTCTGGAGATGCAGTTAATATAACGATGCACTGGCTCAGGCGTCATGATACCAATTTTCATCTATAAGCTCCTCCACTATCCTGGATCCTCTGGATTCTTTCTGTATCTGTGAAATGGAACAACAGTACCTATCGCATGGGTTTATTTTGAGGATTAAATGAAACAATACGTGGCAAGTGCTCAGCACTGTGTTCAGGGAGAGGAGTTGCTCTATAAATGTTCATTGTTATCACTGTAATCATTATTATTGTAATGGATTTTTCTCCCACGTTTTGCATGGGAGTGTTCGGCGAGAAAAAGAGTAATGAGATTTCGTTTACTGGGAGGCAAGAACAAGGGCACTAACAACTGGCAAGCAACAGATAAAAAAGAGGAGTAGAGATGACCTGTGCCCTTCTGTTAGTATTCTGGATGCCTGTATCCCCTGTCACCATGAGAGCCCAACTGCTACAAGCTTTCTGACACCGGCAGTGAGGGTGAAGAGTATTCCATTGGGCTGACTGCCCCTCTCCCTTCTCCAAGCCCACTTACCAGAGGCAGGAGAAAAGGAACTTGCTCACTGCTTTCTCCCAACTTCCCTGGCAGCCAATCCTGGAAAAATTTTTCTCTTAGGGGCAAATAACATTCTGTGCCTTGCATAAATTGAAGCTGCTGCCTGCTGTCATTCAGACAATGACAAAATCAAGACAAAAGTTATCACTGTCGTCTAAAAAAAAAATCACCTTTACTGCTTATAGGGTGCTCAATTTTTCATCTTAGGAAGGAAGGGAAAAAGGCAAGCCGTGGTTACCTTGTGAAGTGTGCGTTTCCGAGTAGTGCTCGCCACACTGGACGTGCATGGGAGGCAAGATGTACGGCTGCTGTCGGGGCTGAAACAGAGAACATGACAAAGGTGGGAAGGCCGTGGCATGAGTGGCCGGGGTCTCTTGCAGGGAACCAGCCCACCACTCACCCACATCTACAGGGAGGCGCTGTGTGGCTGCTCTGCCCGTCTGCCCTTGATCCCTCCCTCTTTGACTCATCTGTACCCCCATCCCCTCCTAAGTTTAGGCCTGGAGAAACAGGAAGGGAGGGGTGCGGAGGCTGGTTCAAGGCGAGAAAGATAAAGAGGCTACAACGAACACATCATCTATTTCCTGATACACTTGCAAAACTCCCAATGCCTTATTTAAAGGAATAACTCAGAACATGGATATTATTATGTTCTTCCTAAGAAATAATGACAACACGGAGGGGAACTCTTTCATTCTATTCAAAACTGGCTGTACCTATGAACCTTGTTCACAGCACCACCATCGAATTCCAATAGGGCTAAGAGTGGTGTGAAGCTCGAGCCCACATGCAAATTTATATAAAAATCTGAAAAGTGAGCCATAACAACAAGTGTGCTGTTCTCAAGAGCAATTACAGCCCCTTCCATTGTAGAAGCCAATATGGAAAGGTCTTGCTGGCAATCTGGCTCAATCATCTACTCTCCTGCCCCCCTCTTCAGTGAAGAATCTTTTCCAAGAGATTCTTAAAGATGGCATTTAGCCTCAGTCTGATTAACTTCCTACTGTAGGCAAGAGTAAACTTTCAGAGGGGGAAAAATGCGTACATAGGTTCAATATTTATGAGCCATCAAAGTAAATATGATTAGTTGCTGATGTGGTCTAGGGCGAGACACTGAACCTTAGTAGGTCTCAGCTTCTTGTCAAATCACAAACAATATCCAATTTATTTATATATTCGGGCTCCAGCTGAGAGCCTGTTTGAAGAAAAAGTTTTGACACTAAAAAAGTCTTTTAAAAACTTTGACCTTGTAAACCACCAAACAGGTTGTCTCATATTTCTATTTGATTATTTCGAAATTAGCCTTATAGATATTGGTTTAAATGTTACTGCTTTAGGAAAGAAGTTGAGATCAAGCCTAAAAACTCAAAGCCAGCAGGGGTCACACTTTCTTGTATCCCCCAGTACAAGAAGAGCTCTTTCCAGAATTTGAAGCTGGGTAAATAACTCGTCTACCATGTTCTCGGCCACAAATAATGCTTACACATCAAAAGGGCATATAAAGAAGGTAATGAAGACAAGGGATCCAAAAATTAAAGAGAGTCAAGAGAGAAGAAATAAAGAACTGAAATTAATCTGAGAAAGTAGTTCTTGGTACCAAGGAAAAGGTGCTATTATCAGCTTTTCTAAATATTCCCAAAATCTCCCTTTGGCTGGTTTTTGAATTACAATTTTAAAATATTTTTCCTCTTCTTGGTAATAGATAACTCAACTCAATTTTTCCAGAGTGGGGACAGCTGGCTTGAGGCTTGAAACAAACAGACAGACAGACACATAGACACACACACACACAGTGGTGTGGGATTCATAGGAGGTAACAGAAATACATGGTAAGGCGAAGTTGAGTCTCTGCCTTCTCTTGCCCTTATTAAAAAAAAAAATCCAGGAAGTGCCTGTTTATGAATTGGCGTAAGTGTACAGCAAAGGACAAAACAACAAACCGTCCAAATACCATTTCAGGATATAACTTATTCCATATATGTATATATATATATGTATATATTCCATTTATATAATATAATGCATATCATTCTATTTCTTTCCAGAACTGCTAATATAGAAATGAGTGTGATGCCAAAACACAGGCAGCAGAAGGGCAAGAGAAAACTGCAGGACCGGTTATCAGTAAGGAAGGCAGAACAAGACCCCATCACTCATTCCAGGGAACTTGTGGTGAAATGGTTTAACCCTAAAGGGTACAGGAAAGAGGGACACCCTGACTTTGGCTTCCTGCAGATTGTCTTCATCCAGATAGAATAGGAAAGCCTCTTTATCTTCTCTAGATGAGTAGGATGAGATCCAATCACAAGACAGCCTTAAAATACTTTGCCCTTGTTGTTTCATGGACATAAGTGAAAAATTATCTCCCTAATGAAGACATGTAGACTCTAAAGAAAAAAAAATAATACTCACAAAGGAGAAGTATAAAGAGACCAGCGCTATGAACAAATCTATTAATGCCTCAAGTAAAAAGACCAAAGTGACCCTCTAGATCTCCAAGGCAAGGGCCACTTGTGAAATATTTTGCATGATACAGAGATTAATAATATGCATGGAGGTACTCAGGAATGTGATGACGTAATGGTGCAACTCAAGAATTCGAAGAGTTCATTGTCTATGTATTTTCCAGAAAAAAAAAAATCCTCAAGACTTTCCTTTTAAAAGACGAGTTAAAGATATGCTATAGGGCACACATTGTATATGAGGAAAAATTCAATTTCATTCTATCAACTCGAAGGAAATGCTCACCTAGAAAATTTTAAAGGTCACGTGTTTATTTTGGTTTTGTGTCACACATCAGAACCTCAAATAGAAGAATTATGATTTAAAACAAGTAGATAATTTAAAGGAAACCAATTCTCCTGCATCTTTCTATGATATCATTTGTAAGTAATCCTCAAAATAAAACACAGCTTAAGACAGAACATATGTATAGAAATTAGAGTTGTGTTTCCTTATTCAGAAAAGGAACAGATTTTTTTTTAAACTAATGTTAGATAGAAAAGTAGATTGATTTACTAGGTCAATTATCTTGACCTTAAGATTAGAAGATGGGCAATTAATCTTCCCCACTGAATACCCTACCTGAAACTGTCAATTAAACTCATTCAATTCTGGTTCATTTAAAAAGCACTTTCATTCTTTTTTCTTTCCTTTTTTTTTTAAGAGAGGGGAAAGGGGAATGGTGAGGGGAGGGGCAAAGGGAGAAAGAGAATCTTAAATAGGTTCCACACCCAGTACAGAGCCTGATGTGGTGCTGGATCTCACAACCCTGCGATCATGACCTGAGCCAAATCAAGAGTCGGACACTTGGGCAGCCTGGGTGGCTCAGCGGTTTAGCACTGCCTTCAGCCCAGGGGGTGATCCTGGAGACCCTGGATCGAGTCCCACATCCAGCTCCCTGCATAGAGCCTGCTTCTCCCTCTGCCTATGTCTCTGCCTCTCTCTCTCTCTTTCTCTCTCTGTGTCTCTCATGAATAAATAAATAAAATATTTAAAAAAAAAAAGAGTCGGACACTTAACTGACTGTGCCACCCAAGCTCCCCTAAAAAGCATTTTCTGATTAGTTTATTAAGCTCTATCTATGGGCAGTGAATACAAAAGAATTTGTGGAGCTTGTAACTTTAGACATGTCTGTATGTAACAACCAGGAACAGTGAGTAATAAAACCAAGATGAGCAAGTGGATGAAAACACACACATTAGGTTGCATGCTGAAGAAACATGGTCTCATTGGCCCTAAGACTTACTCTTTAAGGGATGAACCCTGAGCCACATATTGAGAAGTGATGGCCATGGATGGGCACAAGGATGTCCCACACGATGGGACATGGACAGGACGTGGATGTTCAATCACACTTGCTTGGCAGACTGATGCTCTTCTGTGTTCTCATCAGACCTTTAACTGGTCATGATGCCTAAGGATGTCTCCTCTCAAATGAGCAACAAAAGGATACTCCATCCCCAACAGTCAGACCACTTGATTACTGAAGGCTTTATACATACCAGAGAGGATCGGCTCCAGGTGGGCTGGCGTCTGATGGGGGGTGGAGAATTTGACTGTCTACATGAGAAGTTAAAAGAATGAAAATGGTCATTATATTTATCAGACGTAAAACAACCAGACAGACAAGAGAGGGGAATAAGAGGAGGGGAAAGAGACAAGATAGGTAAGTAATTTACAGTAGAACATAAACATTTATTTCTGAATGATGAGGCTATGAAAAGTTTTGATTGCCTTTTTTATTCTCTTCCTTTTTTCCAAAATGATTGGAGCATATGGTCCTTAGAAAATGAGTTTTATAGCAGGATAAGAAAAGAAAGATTATGAGAGGAAGAAAGCAAGACTGAAAAATATCAGTGTTATTACACGGGTTTTTAAGAATCATACCCTTTATATCTTTTTGTGTGTGTAGTATCTTTCATAATGAAAAACGGCAAGTAGGAAAAAAACTTTTTAAAATGTTGCCAGTCAAATGAAATCCAGAGTGGATTAAGTATGTCTAAGTAAGAGCATATAAAGGTCTTTTTGAATTAAGACAACACCGATTACAAAATATTTATCTAATCGGATCCTTTCCAGACTGAGAATGAATGTGATTTTTTTTTTTAACAGAGAGATAAACATGTGTGGGGACTGGGAGTAGGTTTTATCAAACTCTGGAGGACTGAAATCAAAGGTGCCTTTGAGAAATGGGTCCCGAATTCCAGAGCAACATTTTCCCTAGTCCTCAGTGAGATCACAAAAAGACAAAAACAAACAAAAAACCCAGGACATGTTGAGTTCTTCATCAAGCTAGAATTCTCCAATTCAAAGCACTCTCCTTAATCTGAGAGTTCATCTTTCCTACCTTTTTTAGTGATAGGACATCTTTTATGAAGTGATGGAAACAGTGCAGTAATGTTGGATGTTTTTTAAACAACTGGCCAAATACATTATAAGACCTAGTTACAGGTTTTATAATATTATTGTAAGACCTGCGATTTTTCTTCTCTCAAGAAATATGGGAACCATTCCCTGGAGCTATATGGGAAGATGACAAGCAACAGCTCTGTGAGCAAAAAATAAAAATAAAAATCAGTGACAGTCTTTTAAGGTCAGGGTGCGGAGACCTCTAGAGAAGGATGCTGTGAAGATGATGCTAGATTCATAAAACTCCAGGGGGTTATCCCAGGCCTTAATGCAGCCTGCACTGAGATTCTGAATTTGTTGCGTATATGGAGTACGTGTGTGTACATCTTAGAGAGTCCAGGTTCTTATCAGATAAGAGGTTGGGAATCTCCCATACCTGGTTAAGAACAGGAGAAGAATGATTACTGCAGAAATAGAAAACACAATTTCCTTAGCTTTCCATTTAATATAGGATATTCACTAATATTAGAAGACCTCAAAATAAAAACACGTGGAAAATTTTATGACAAATCCACTTGCTGAGAAATGGTCAAACCAGAAGACCACAGTAAAATCCATGTGTTGGAACAGTTTTGTTTTAATTTGCCCTCCAGAAGTCAACCATAGAGTCCCTGTTCATGTCAAAGACACCCCCACGAATCAAAGGCAACAGCAGGGCAGGCCCACACAGAAGTGATCTATAGGGAATCTGTTCAAAAGAACGGCATGTGTGTGTGTGTGTGTGTGTGTGTGTGTGTGTGTGCGCACGTGCGCACGCACATCTGTACAGTTATGGCTGTTTGATTTGCCACTCCCTCATCACTGCCCTTCTAAATTTACATTTGCAAACTTTGCGGGCAGACCGGATACTATCGCCTATCTTTTTAGACTCCAACAGTGACCAATCGCAATGACTGGCTTGAAAGAGCCTCCATCGTGTAGAGAAGAAAGTGTGTCAGGAGCTGAAGCTCCAGTTCTAAAGCAGCCGCAGTTTTCAGCAGGAACTGCTCTGGGACAATACTCTCACACTCTTGGATGTGTCCACTGGGGGAACGGAAAAGCAGTTCCTCGCTTGCATGTCTATCCCCGAATTCTTTGAAACACAATTAAGCACCTTGGGCGCCCCACCTGCCGAATGCACTTTGCTGAGGGACGTCTTTTGAAGGCAACCAAAATAAAGGCAATGATAGCGTGAGGCCCAGCTACTCTACATCCAAGGTCAGGTCACATTTAAGTTCCTGTATCAGACTCCCTTTATCATCTTTATTTCCAAATTAAATTTAAAAAACACACATGGACTTGTGACATCTATTAGCGTCTTCCAAGTCTTCCTGTAATTACCCCGGCCTCTCATTTACAGGCAGATGACATGACCCAGAAGCACACGCAGGGTTAGCCAACTGTGTAAGAGAAACAGGGCTGAGGATGACAGAAGCTTCTTTTCTTTCAAGTTGGCTTGCCACTCTGTTACACACTTCTGAACCGACTCCGCATCTGACACGAAGGGGCACCCTGGCAAATTGGGAACGGCTCGGCTCCTCCAAACTCATAGCAGAGGATGGAAAGGCACTAATATGGGCCAACCCGTCCAGGTAGTCAAGCACTCAGTCAATTTGTGAATTATTTTCTCTCCAGGCATATGCACTGCACCAGACAGTCTTCATCATTAAAGTTCTTTCACTCCTGCCTGGATGCAGCTTACTCCTTTAACTTCCGAGAGGAAGGAGGGGAAATAGAGCAAGTGGAAAGAGCAATCTAGGACACCCCTGAGGCACATCCCTGAAGCCACGGAGCAAGGAGTGCACGAAATATTTACTTACTCAGTGCAGATTTTGTTTTGTTTGTAAAATTTGTGTCGCGTAGCAAACAACCGAGAGATGTACTTGGCATTTTCAATATCATCCTTGGAAAAGAAGAGATGGGGAAAAAATAAACATTGGTTTGACTCTATATGCATCTACCTAGGATTCTTCTGAATGGGCCCACATCCCTCCCTCCTGTCAGGCCGAGCAGCAAACCGATGTGCTGAAATCTATGGCGAGCATGGCTAGGAAGCCCCCCACCACGGATGCAGACAATCCATCAGTTAAAGAATAAGGCACTGGGCTTACACTCATGAGCTGGCGTGTCTTTACACAATTCCAAACCAACTGCTTTAAAAATAAAGAAATGAATGAAGACAGAGCATGGGATGACCATTGAGAGGCAGGGAGGTGAAGCAACAGCCTTGGCTCTCAAGGGGGCGCTCGACAGAAGGGTGATCACTCAGTTTACTTCAGGTTAGGTTTGGGCTATGATGGGGAAGGAAATTCAGGTCAGCCGGCAAAGGAAAGTGCTGGGCAATATCATGGGGGGGGGGGGGAAGAGGGGGGGTTACTGGATGCGCAGGCTGTAACTTAAGCGCTGAGGAACGTGGCATGCCACACATGTGATCCACCACAAACACAGCAGGTGGAGGAACCCAAATCCCAGAGTCCGAACTCAACTTGGAAACCTGGCATTTTGAACAGGAAACTACCACCATTACCCAGAAATGAGTAATGACAGCACCGGGCGAGTGTTGGACACTTATCAGTTCAAGAGAACATTTATTCTCTCGCCGTGTGGAGTGCAAGGAAAGGATATCGTGTACTGAGAAATCGAAAAGCAAGCTGCCTGTCGGACCCTGCCCGTCTTTCTATTTTGCTTACCGTGTGAAAGAGGGCAGTCTCTTCTTTGTTGATGAGCTCCACTAGAATAGTAGACTTGTTGTGAGTGATATTCCCGATATCATTCCACCTGGTCAAAAGATAGGCAACTGGGTTTGCCAACGAAGTTCCGCAGGAGGGTCATCTGCTACTGGTGAGTCTCATTTGACAACGTATGATTTAACTGTAGTTTTAAAAGCCAAATATTCCTTCTTTCCAAGCAAAAAAGTAAAACACAACTTGCATGGACTTAAATACCTAAAAATGCTGTATATGTATAACCTACATCTAGATATTGCTGTTCATAAGGCACCGTTGCCTTTATGACTAGTTAGGGGGAAAATGTTCAAGGGTCTTTTGCCTTGTTTTTCACATTTCCAAACTGCAAAGCATTTCCCATGATCCCTGCTTTGAATGATGGAAAGTATTTTAAAGTCATGTGCTTCCAGGAATCTAGGCCAACATATCCACATAGATTCTGTGTTGCGGTGTACACTACAGATGGATTATGCCACCAAGAACAAGTGCCCAGGGGATGTTTAATGTGCCCACATTTTTGTGATCTACACACACAAATTTCCTTCTCTTTCTTCATAAAGACCACAGCTAAAATGAGACATACGAAATAACCACCAGACAAGGGAAGGTAAGCTACTGTGTCCCATTCTACTTGGAGTCAATTTTTAACCATCTCTTACTACTGCCTACCTTCATTCTGTGCCCAGGCTATAATGCCCTGCCCACTGCCTCTTCATGCCAACATTATACTTCCCTATCCTCCACCTAGATGATTTCTTTAAGACCCAGCTCAGAAGTCACCTTCTCTCTCTTCCCCGTCCCTAACCACTCACATGGCAGGAAAGAATCTGGTATAGTCCTCTGTTGAGCACCACATGGCATTATAATTGTTTACTTCTGTGACTCGATCCCCAACTAAGGCAAAAGAGACCATAGGCCTCATGCCTAGAGATTCTGCTTTCTTCACCTCTGTACTCCACACACTTGAGCCAAGTACCTGGCATGCAGCATGCAATAAATGTTTGCTGAAAGAATTAAAAATAATAATATTGCCTTCCATCTGTATAGAGTATGGTTTCTTTACTACCTCTCTAAGATGCTACTTTAGAGCTGAGACCATTTAGGCACAAATGAGAACAGGACATAGCCACGTTCACTCTGCTCATCAGAGACGCCGGAGTTCTATACCTGGGGCTTCCAGGCTTTCCTCCAGTCACTTTCTACCAACACCAACCATGTTTACAGACATCTGCTGGAGCCATACTCTCTACTGGTGCTCAGCACAGCTGTCTGCTGACTTATAATTCCATCAGATTACATCTACACAGACTGGTAGCTACATGTTCCTCAGTGAAAGTCTCTAGAGATAAGAGATATTTGGTTTCCTCGTGCTCCATTCCTTCAAATCAACTGCCACAACTCTGGATCCTTTCCTCACTCAACAATGCGACTTCACTTAGGGGGATCCTTACCATGACATTATGGTAGCAGTCAATTCCCATCCTATAGGGCTGTCTAGGTAAGTGCTGAAGAGGTGTGGAAACAGCTCCAAAGGAACTGAACCAAACCATGAGTGGCTTATCATCAGCAGAGTTTCCAATGGCTATTTCCTTCTATTTAACCTCCATAGCTGGAGATGTAAGACTTGTCTACTTCTCTAGGTTCAAGGAGAATATGAATTGATTTAGCTATGGAGAACTATGTGGGACAAAATAATGCCTGGACAGCTTTAAGTGGACATACAAATTTGTAGTTACAACTCTTAAAATGTACAGACTGTAGTTGACTAATTTATAATTTGCTATAGGTATATGGAGTTGACTATGTCCAGAAGTAAAAAAGTTTATTCTGCAGTCACAAAGATCTCTCTCTCCCCTCTCCTGCTCCAATAATGTCTCCATTCAAAGAGCAGAAGAAAAATCAATGGACAAAAATAATGGCAGGTAGGGACCTAGAGGGTGAAAGGGCTGATTAGGAAGCTTTTGGTGGGAGACCATTTGCAAAATGGCCTGCATCGACTACTGATCCTGGGAGTACACAGCTGGACAAGATCCACTTCCAGAAGGTAGACTTTGCTTTGCCTCTAAGAGCTGTCTTGGATGATCTACCATAGGTGCACAGCTCTGCCCATGGACTGCACGTGCAGAAAAGCTGTTCTTCGAATAAATAAGTGGCCATATCACCCTTGTAAATGAAAGCAAGCATGCAGTCTTCGAGATTGTTGATGCGATGGAGACAACTATGGGCACCAACCCCAGCCAGCTCATTGACATGCAATGGGGGAAACGCTTTGCCAAATCCTGAAATTGGTTCTCTCGTGTTAAATGAAGAGGGTTTAAAATGCAAAATAATAATAGTTTTTAAAAGTACCCAAATCCTTTAGTTCATAATAGCAAATTCACTGCTTTTCAAAATGCACTTTCCCAAATATAAATGATATATTTAATATAAAAATTAGTCCACAGTCTTCTAGCACCTGTGGTCAGGCAGAGGGTGACGGAAAATGGGAAGAAGCCAGCCTGGATTTAATGACTGGTCATGAATAATGTGGGCAGAGGGAACCAGCAGGACTGGCTGGACGGCCTGCTTCCAACCAGACTCACAGAGTTTAGCACCACTCTTTGGGCTCTGCAGGGGTCAAGAGCACCTTTCCTGGAGTCAAGTGGAAAGAAGGAGCTTCCTCTGACCCCCACCCTCCAACCAGGCCCTCCAGGGAAAGAAGATGCATCTCTCCACAACTGCTCAAATCTCACAGTGGGCCCCTCTTATCTGAGTTGAGAAAAGCTCAACTCTGATCACAGCCTGGCTCTTAACTCACTGAGATTAACTGTCAGACTCAGTGGGCTTTTCTAGAATCCCTCAAGGGAGAAAAAGGGGAAAGAGACAAAGAGGACTACCTGTATATTACTGCTTGTCTTCCAATTCTGTTTCTCACGAAAATCCCCATAAAGAAAATGCCCAGGTGCACACTGTTTCCATGATTGTCCTGCATGAGATCAACAGAAGAATGGTGTGACCAAACAGATCGCCAGCAGTCCAGCACAGCCGAGAGTCCAGGCTGGAGCCCACCCATGCGGGCCATACCCTGTTTCCGGCCCGTGGACAAATGGATCACAGGCAGCATTGGGACAACAGGCAATGTGGCCCTGAAGGGACTCACCTCCCCTGCACATCCCAGTGGACTATATACATACATATATTTTTCTTTTATCTCAATTTGTCACAACACATTTCCTGTCCAAGTGAGAATTTTAGGATTTTCTCAGATTTGTTGGCAGTGTTAAGAGTTTCCCTTTCATGAACCTCTATTAATATCTTTGCTACTTTGGGTTTTTTAAAATCAAAATTGTACATGTATGTAGTTGGATTAGGTATGCATGTCATATGTGTGCGTTTATATGTGGCCACTGTTTGCAGGATTGAGCATATCCTTTGGAGCCTGTTTAAAAGAGGTCAACAGCAGACCCAGCCCTGCCATTTCCTCTCCCCAGAGCCACCAACTTCCACTACTTAACACCCTTATGAGTGTTTATTTGCATCCACTGTGCTTGGTCTTTCGGTTTATAACCTCATGGTCCTCGGTCCTGGGTTACTTTCTTCAATTTCCTCTGTTTACCTCCTGGAACTCCCACTATTCAGATGTTGGACATCCTGGGCTGGCCTTCTAATTTTATCTCCCACCTTCCATATTCCATAACTTCATTTTTTGGTGAGATTTTTTTAATTTTATCTTGTAATCTATTACCTTTTCCATTTCTGATATATTTTCAACTTTTTTTTAAGATTTCATTTATTCATGAGAGAGACAGACAGAGAGAGAGAGAGAGAGAGAGAGAGAGAGGCAGAGACACAGGCAGAGGGAGAAGCAGGCTCCATGCAAGGAGCCATATGTGGGACTCGATCTGGAATCCTGGGATCATGCCCTGGGCCAAAGGCAGATGGTCAACCACTGAGCCACCCAGGGGTCCCTATTTTTAACTTCTGAGAGTTCTCTTTTTTTCTTCTTTTTTGAATGGTCCCTTTTAAAAGGAATCTATTCCTTTAAGGAGGGAATATATTGTTATGTTTTTATCTCAGAGACTCATAGGATGGTATTTTAGGCAGAGGGTTCTTCCCCCTGCAGTCTCTGCATCTTCCAGGCTGCTTCGGTCCCTTTGCCTTGGCCTCTGTCATTCCTGCGAGGGCAGCCTGTAGGGTGATCCTTGGCCATCTAGTCACGCTCCAAGAGTGGGATGCTAAGCAGTGGCCGGGAGCTTCATGAGTTCAGGAGGGGTGTGAAGACAGCAGAGCTGCGGGGCAGTCTGCCAGGCACTGTGCTGAGGGAGCCCGGATGACTTATCTTCAATCTGGTCTCCTGGTCCAGTCAGGTGCTTCCAGCCTCCTGCCTGGGAGAGCATAACCTGCTGCCAGTGTGCCCGAGAGCAGAGGGAGAACAAGGCTCACCAGCCAGGGTGTAAGGTATCACCCAACCCCCTGATTTTTACTGATGACACTGTCATTGTGGAGTGAACAGAGGGGCATGTATCATCCAGGCACAAGATGTAAAAGAAGGCTCTCTATATTCCTTAGAACACTCGATTCCATGTAAGACACAAAGACAACAGTGTCCCTTCTCAGGAACTTCTTGACCCACCACCAAAGCGCACATTGGAACAGGGCCCCGCTAACGGGGACACAGAGAGGGCCAGACCACTGCTGGGGACTGAGCAGAGAAGAGGGCTGGGAGTGAAAGAAGTGGGAAGGAAAAGAAATGCCTTGGTAGTCAGAAGTGAGAAGGTAAATCACACTGGAGAAAAAAATATGGGGGGTAAGAAGATAGGCTAAGTGGAGGTGGGAAGAGGAAAGAAAATTCTGTGGCAATCCTTCCCGGGACACTTTGCCATTAGATGGATCGGTGCAGGGGTCCGGTGGGGATGGGGCCATGGGAGGAGCAGTTCACCAGGGCCTGGCAATGGGACAAACACAGGACGGATGCCTGGGTGCTGCATCTGTCAGAACGTAAGGCTCCATCTCTAACGTGGCTCCTGGTGTGTGGAGGCGGAGGGCCCGACCTGTCGGGGAGTGGCCTGGTACTCCTCCCACCTTAAAAAATTTTGAAGAACCGCTCATAGAGAAGCCCACACTATGTGGAAATGTTCTTCCCTACGGCAAATCCGTAACAAGCTTGTTTACTTCACTCGGTCAGGAAGGACCTGTACTAAGCCAAAGGGACTCCATCACTACAGCAGTCTCCCGTCTGCCTCTGCACTTATCTCAGAGCTGACCACAGCACCGCCCCGACTGGTACTGCTGTCCCTCCCACCATCCTCAGCTCTCTGGAAGTCATGTGGTCTGCCGGGGGTCACCTGAGTCATGAACCGGTACGTGTGATGCCCAGCTCAGTCACACTCCCTGGCAGTGAGTCAGCAGTGCTCGTCTGCCCACTCAGACCAAGGTATGGTATATGCCCCTCGCGCTCTTCGCTCCAAAGAACATACCAGAAAGGCCATCAGAAACAAGCACAGAGGATTTCAACACTATTTCCACTGCCCCTATTTCCCACAGCCCAGAACTCCTAAAAACAGCACAAATAAATGAGCCACAACAACTCAACCCCCAACTTCCTGGGGCTGAGAAGTGGGTTTTCTGGAAGTGAAGAAAAGTTTACCCTGATTTTTCAGTGACCCAAAATATCATGACTATATATGGGCTGCTGAAATGTAAGTGGGATGCAGATGGCTTCATAAGGCATTATTGCAAGGAAAATGGATTACAACCCTATGAAGGGCAGCCATGAGAGAAGCAAAAGAAAATTAAACAAATCTAAAAAAGAGCCATTTAGCCCTTTTCGCAAGCTGCGGCCACCCTGCTCATTCTACTTGATGCACATGGGCAGTTCTCATTAAGGCAAATTGCAAACGTGCAGCAGAGGGGGAACAGAACACTTATAAAACAGCCAGCGAAGCCAGTTTAGAGTGAAATGTTTGTGCTAAAATTGCAGTATCTCCCAAATTGCTGAAATGTGCCAGTTGCTTTAGGTTTCTGATAAAACCCCGTCTTTTGTAAAGCTAGTCAGTAGAGAGAAGAAAATGAGTTTGGGTTCTGGGCTCCGCTCCACACGTGACCATGCACCATGACCCTGACCCCCCCCAACCACACCCACTTCAGGAGCTGGATGTGTTGCAAAAGATGTGATGTGCTGTAGCAGTTTCCCAGGCACCGTTTCCAGAACACACCAAAGGGGCTGGACGCCCACAATGCAGGCTCTACAGAGCTTGAGAAATAAAGTGTGACTGCATACGGGAAATGTTTCACTCTGCCTCACAATTATCCCCAGATCAGCTCAAAGGAGAGAAAAGAGAAGAAGCAGGTAAAAACCACCCATCAGGGGCTTTATATTAATGCACCCATGGCATTAGCTGCTCGTCCTGCCGACTGGATACCTGCACAGTGCGGGCTGGGCTGGTGTTTGGGACACACCCAGATGCCTGTCTTACCAACAACATATTTTCCCCGACACTGTGGCCAACTCCAAAACCTCTTCGTAAAGAACAAGTGTTTGCTTAACCTCACGTCCACTGGACTTGCCAACCGATGCCACGTAGGCATAAGGAAGCCAGGTCGTTCTGGCCTGCTGCCTATCATCGCTAGCGTTCTGACTGCCTGAGCCATTCTGAGAAAGCTGAAGAAAGGATAGGCCAGGGCTGGCTACCTTCACAGAGAAGATCTCCTGTCCAAATCCATCCAAACGTTCCACTTCATTGATGTACATGAGCTCAGCTTCTGCTGGCAGGATCCCACTGCAATCACAACAGCATCAAAGAAGGAAATGGTTAGGGCAATGAAGGCAGTACAGGGTCCTACCCTCCTGATGGCAAATTCCAGAGCTGTGGTTTTAGTTCTAGTTCTGGGAAGCGCAATCATCACCCAACTGTGAGGACATGGTGCATTACTAAGTAATTCATTAACATATTCCCCACCGGCTTTTACTCAAAGGGGAATAATCAGAGGAAGGTAAAGTGTTTAATTAAGAGCCACAGCTCTATAAACATTAATTATTCCAGACATCCTGGTGAATAGCGCTGCCTGCTTTAAAAAAAATTTTTTTCCCCTCTTACCTGGGAGAAAAAATCTCCACTGTTAAGAAAAAAGGTGAAGAAAGGAAAAAGTTTATGAGGATGCCATTTGGGGAGCTAAGTAGCTGAGATGAGAGACCTTGGGATAACCACACAGGGCCTCTGAGGTCTGAAGGAAGGCTGTTTGTTTTCCATTGGTCCCATAACTCTGCGTAGCCCTCAGAGCACCCTCTCAGTGCCTCCTGGAGTCTTGATCCTCTTTCCCTCTTGATCTTGACTTTCCCTCCCCCCAAAGCTGCTCTTCAGGTCTTCTCACTCAGCTCAAGCGGCCCCAGGCTCCCCAGCTCTGGCAACAGAGCTTGAGGAAGGTCAGAGACACGAATTCCCCTGGCTAGCAGCTCCATGTCTGTGTGGGCTTGCTGGTGTTAAAAAAAGAAAAGAAAAAAAAGGGAGAGAGAGGAAGAAAAAAAAGAGAACCAGAGAAAGGGGAGGGAGGGCAGGCAGCAGAGTTTTCAAATCCACCCAGTGTTGAAAGAAACACAGCGGGGGCAACTCAAGCCAGGGGCTAGGGCTGGGGGCCAGCGCCTTGGCCGGCCTTACCTGTGGGCTTTGTGTTCTTGGGCTACCTTCTGTGTCAGCTCCTCCAGAACGGCCTCCTCCAGGGCCAAATCCTATCAATACAGAAGCAGTGAAGGCCATTACCATTTTGCTTATAAACCTTAAGAGCTCTCTTCTCCAGAAGATGTTCCCGAGGAGCCTCACTTCATCGCCTCCCCCCGTCCCCCTTACTCCTTCAAATCAAAGGCTGTCCATGGTAGGACTGAGGGTCCACTGTGACTTCCATAACATGGCTCTCCACTGTAACTTAGGCTCTCCGCTTCTAACTAACATGCCTATTTCAAGGCATAGTTTGGGTCGCTGCTTAAATTCTTCAGGGCCCGGGGAAATATCTCCTTTTTTCATTTACCCTCTTATTCCCTGTCTGACTCTCAGATTCACTTTAATTGAAATTGCTTTGTCAGTACTCACGTGGTTCTTTTAAAAGATTTATGTATTTAGAGAGAGAGAACAGGGCAGAGGGGCAGAGGGAGAGGGAGAGAGAGAATCTTAAGCAGACTCCCTGCTGAGTGCGGAGCCCGACGTGGGGCTTGATCCCAGGACCCCGAGATCATGACCTGAACTGAAATCAAGAGTCGGACACTCAATTAACTGAGTCACCCAGGTGCCCCAGTACTCTGCTACTGAGGCCCAATACTCTTCTACCTGAAGGCAGAGAGGCTCATTCCAATGTTACTTGACAGAGCCTTGGAAGCAGAAGGGGCCACGTTGGCTAAAACTAGGGAGTTCTATAAGGTCACAGCGTGGAGCTGACCAGCTGGTGTCTCAACTACCTGAATCCCAGGTCTCTGGGACCACTGGTGTGCTGGGTCCCACTGGATGCAAGCTAAGTGCACACACTTCTTCCCAACACCCCTTCAATGACCGTGGGGGTCTATCAGGGATTGTTAAACATTTACCAGCACAGCACTGTCCGGGATGGAGAGATGGTCTGAAGGAGACTTCAAGGCAGGGAGGACCAGAGCAACCAGTTTCTGAGACCCTGACAGACACGGCGATTCCAGAGTTCCCGCAACCCTGGTGGTAGCCTGGGGAGGCTCAAGCCAAGGGCCAGCTGCCTCGGACCTTGCCAGGTAGCAGCTTCCACGGCCCCTGCCCCAGGCTGGTAAATACTGAGGAGGACGCAGATGCGTACCATTTCCTTCTGAGCTCCAGAGGGGGGTGGTTGGAAGGGGCTCTGAGCTATGTGCCCCGGTGGGGCCCTCTGCAGCTCATCGTAGACACTGGGGGTGGGGGGCCTGGGGGCTGAAATTTGGCAGAGAACATCCCAAATACTGCATTGCCCTGATTCCAAAACACCATTTAGATAAAGATGGTCTCCAATTTAACAGTTTTCCCTGGATGAAGCACTAACCCCCAAAAAGGTGCACCTCCAAACTGTAAGAAACATCCCATCTGGAGGCACAAAGACCTGAAAAATCGGTTATCTCGGAAAGATGAAGACTGAGGGCGTGAACTATTCGCTGGAAATTCTCTAGCTCTGCAGATGGTCACGAGAAACCTCAGAGAAGGCGGAGGGAATTCCTGGCAGCCCTTATTTTTCACGCATTCACTGATGAGCTGGCTGTCTCCTGTTTAGCCATCCTACTGCGGTGACTCGAGTCCTCGGGAGGAGAGCCGCTCAGTCCTGCGTCGTCGGGGAACGCGCCCCTGGGTACCGCGCGGCGGTAATCACCCGGTACTAATTTTGAAAAGCTAATGAAAGGCGTGTGGCCAATGGAATAAAATAAAGACAGGTAAGTGAAGATCAAAAAGTGCTCCATTAAACCCCGGCTTCCGACTTTGAAAGAAGAAAAAGTCCAAAGGTGCCCCTCTGCTATTGTTCTCGATTCCAGCGCGGCCGCCTGCGTCTGGGCCTCCCGGAGGTATGCGCCCCGCCGCACAGGCCGCGAGCGGCCCCGCGTGAATGGCAACTAGCCGAGCGCAGGCCTGTACACAGCTGCACACCTGTGGAGTGCCCTGTGTACTTAACTTTGTTCTTTTCTCTGCTGCACAAATGCCATTTGACAAATTCGGTTGCTTTATAAGATCAAACGAGGCCATTCATCCCATCTTCCCTCCCCCAGCAAAGGAATGCATTCTTCCCTTTGAAAGCTCTAGTGGAACCAAGCAGAAAGTTTACAACCTTCCGTGGCTCCCCACGGCCTGCTCAATTAGGTCAACACCTGGGCCTGGCATTCACACCAGCCTTCGGCGTGACCCCGCCTTGCCTGCCAGACCGCCCCTCTCAAGGGTTGAAGGCATCTGGCAGATTCGTCTCTCCTAGCAGAACGCGTGTGTGCCGCCTGACACACTCATGCTGACCCTTCCTGGTAGTCACCGGGGCCCATCACAGCAAGTGAAATGCCACCCTGTTCTTCAGGTCCCGTCTCAGCTGCCGTTCCCGCGGCTTCCATACCCCACCACCACCACCATCATGCAGGAGGTAAACCTTTGCTTCTTCTGCGCTGAGTGTGGCTCGAGCAGCCCTCACCACAGTCTGCCTATGGTCCCTCTTACACAGTTATCTGGATGCTCATCTAACCCCGTACCCACGTCAGCCTCCCTCTACTAAATTATAGGTGCCTAAGGGCGGCAGCTCTTCTCCACATCCCTTCTGGGCCTACGACAGGGCTCTTAACACCACGTCAGCTTCTAAGCTCTCCAGACACAGGAAGTGATCTGCAAATGCCACAGACCTCAACTCCGTAAAGCAACGTATGAGTGTCACATGATCGGGGGGGTGGGTCTCTAATCACGCAGAGCCAGTTAACCATCGTTTGTACCCTCTGGCTGTCCTCTGCTTACGTTACAAAATGCACGGAGTACGGCTGCCTGAAAAGCACAGTCTTGCGCACCCTTGTGCTTGCATAACAGAGGTGGGACAGTCGTGTTGATAAGAGGACAACGATGGCCAAGACCAGGACAACTGACTAAACACTCGCTGAGAATTTACCATATGGTACGTTACTTCACATGCATCCTCTCCTTTTGCCCTCATGACTGGAATGAGCTTGCTACGCCCATTTTTAGATGAAAAAAATGGGACACTTTGGTTAAATAAATAAGTAATTTCAAACATAAATGAGGCTGAATAATGGTCCGAGTTCACACTGCTGGTAAGGGGCACTGCCAGGACATGAGCACAGAATACTTGGCTCCTGTAGCCTGAACCACCTGACCACAGGCTGCAGTGTATCCAGGGTATGACATGGGATGGAATGACATGGCAAAAGCCAGGGAATGTGCACGACTCCAGTACACATGCTGACATCAGCTTGTACCACAGCCTCCTCAGGGCTGTCCAACAGGACTTGCTGCAGTGATGAAAACGTTCTGTATCTGGGCTTTCCAGTACAGTAGTCACTAGCCACGTGTGGTTTCTGAACGTTTTTTTAAATTTTTATTTATTTTTTAATTATTTGTTTATTTTAACGATTTTATTTATTTATTCACGAGAGACACAGAGAGAGAGAGAGGCAGAGACACAGGCAGAGCAAGAAGCAGGCTCCCCACAAGGAGCCCAATGTGGGACTTGATCCTAGATTCTGGGATCAGACCCTGAGCCAAAGGCAGGTGCTCAACCGCTGAGCCACCCAGGGGCCCCTGAACATTTTTTTAAATGTAGCTAATGCAACTATGGGCTGAATTTTTAATTTTAACTCTAGTTAACTTAAATCTGAATGTAAGTAGTCACCTGTCCACGTAAGGAGCTACTATGCCAAAGAGGGAAGTTTGTTTTTATTTATTTTTTAAAGATTTATTTGAGAGAGAGAGAGAGAGCAGGGAGAGGGGCAGAAGAAGAGGGAGAAGGGGGAAGAAATCTCAGACTCCCCACTGAGTGGGGAGCCTAAACTGGGGCTTGATCCCAGGACCCTGAGATCATGACCTGAGCCGAAACCAAGAGTTGGCTTTCCAACCAAGTGAGCCATCCAGGCAACTCCCTGAAGAGGGAACTTTTAGATCCAAGAATAACACATCCCTATTTGTCTGCCCATGGTGAGATTTCATGAGATCTATGTCATTCAAGTATCTGATTTGCTCAGAGCCCAGTGGAGACACAGTCTTATTCTGAAAAAGGCATGATACACAAAATAACTCCCTTCGGTCCTTGACAGATAGCACTTGGACCTGCCAGAGCATTTTAGTATCTACAAATTCATAAAAACTTTAAATAGCGCTCAAGCCTGGTCTCTGTCGGAGTCTATGTGATTAAGACCTTTAAGGAGAGAAAGGGGGAAAAATGTGGAAGATTATCATGCCAATTCATTGTCTCCATTGACACAAAAATGCACACTGTCTAAAATCCTAAGGTATGAGCTTTGCTTTCCTCCCACCAAGTACAATGGGAAACTTCCTGATGTTTGAGGTGAGCCTGTGAGGCTGTGGAGACATTGATTCAAGCCAGTTGACACCAAATCCTAGGAAGAACTTCTCTGCTAAATAATATGCTCATCTCTTTGAATGCAGGTTGATTTGCTGGGTAAAATTAACGAGGCATGAAAAACAAGAGCCTCATCAGATAACACTGCTGTTTTCTTGGAGGGAAGAACAAAGATAGAGTTATTCATGGAAAACGGAGAGATCCTAACCTACAAGAATGAGGTAAATTTGTGACAATTTGAGTTCATCACACAGTGATAGGGATAACAGCGGTAGCCTTAGTTATCCTAGTCTTTCAAAACTTGAACTTTTGTCACCACTCTACCCTTTCCCATATGCCACACCCAACTGGATGCCCATTTTATTTCTAAAATATCTCTTGCACTGCTTTCTTGTTTTTATTGCCACTCATTAACACCTAAATTTTCTCTTGGCCAAGAGCACCACGCAGATTCTCATCCGACCTGCTTTCACAAATGATCGCATTGCTTTAATCCAGCGGTTCTCGAAGCATGGCATCTGCAAACGCAGACAGAGCCCATGTGTTCTCAGCCCTGAGATGTTTCATTTTATCTGCTGCCACTCCTGAGTGACAGCCAGACTCACCATTGACTCATGCCACCCTGCCCCTGCTCTTTCTCTCCCTATCTAGATCATTCCTTGCTCCCTGGCTGCCTGCTGCCATCCTGCCCATCCTTTGAGATGCAGCTCACACTCCGTGAGTCTTTAAACCTTCCCTAACCCCCCACACAGATGTAAGTTCTCCCCACATAAAATCCTGAGTGCACTTTATGACGCTTGGCTTTGCATTCCGATTTTGCAGACTTCCTATTTACTCAACTACTGTGCCGCCTCCCTGAGAACAAGCACCATTTCTTATATAACTTCATCCCCCTGGGAATTATTACCCAGGTCAGTGCTTTGGGCAAAACCGTTGATAAAAAAAAAAAAAATACGTGGTGAATGATCAGGATTTCTAAAATCTGAGCCAGGATGTTGGAGCGGGTATAGCTTTTCAAACGTTTTAATCCCTCATTTCAACTCTTCTCATTTACCCCAAAGCTACCAAAACACACACACACACATTCCCCAGGGATTAAAATCTAGCCTCATTCCTAATTTAACCCAAGATTGGATATCTGACCTCACTGATTCATTCAATGAATTTTTATGAGGGTGGACTATATGCCAGACAATAGTGACAAGACAGAGAGGGTCCCTGCTTACGGACCACACAGCTGACGTCCTAGCAGACAATCAATCAGTACTGAACACATTTAGATACTGAAAGAGTTCTGAAGTATATGCACATAAACGGTGATTTAGAAGGAAATAGTTGATGGCTGGAGTGTATCATACAGGCGCTTAAAGAAAAGGAAGGCCTCTTTGAGGACATGACATTTGAATTAAGACCTCAATGTCAAGCCATAGAAATATCTGGAGCAGAGCACTGAGGCAGAGGAAACCCAAGGACGAAGGCTCTGGGATAAGAGTTAAGCTTGATGTGTTCAGAAAGGAAGGAAGAGGGGGCACCTGGGTGGCTCAGTGTTTGAGCATCTGCCATCTGCTCAGGGCGTGATCCTGGGGTTCTGGGATCGAGTCCCGCAACAGACTCCCTGCATGAAGCCTGCTTCTCCCTCTGCCTGTGTCTCTGCTTCTCTCTGTGTCTCTCATGAATAAATAAATAAAATCTTAAAAATAATAATAAATAAAGGAAGGAAGAAAGGAACAGCACCAGGGCTCTGGAGAGTAGTAGAACTGAGGGTTGCAGAGGGGATGTCAGGGGACAGGGAAGTGTCTTGATGAGGGGGGAAGAGGCATGTTTACTTTTTCAGTGTTTTTCCAAAATATGTCCCTACTTCATAAATGCATGGACATGGACTTGCCTCCCCAGGGAATACGTGTCTGCAAAATCCTCTGAGATTTTCAAAGAAAAGAATTAAACATCCAAAGAAGGTAGAAAATTAATTAAGAAGGAAATTACACTTACCATAGGAAATAGCACATATTCTCTGAGGAAATCTTGAGAATCAAACTGATTGTAGTCTCCAAAATCAGCTGAGAAGAAAAGAGGGGGGAGTGGTAGTATTTATTATATGAAATTGAAGATGGAATAAAATAAGAGTAAAATTACCGCCACATTTATTATTCCTACTTCATCCTATTTCTGCACTATTAAGTGAAAACAGTGCCACGATGTGTTTGATATTGTTACCACTTTCACTTAGCAATACTGTAAATATCAGCATGTGAGCACTGTTATACAATTTTCCAGGAAAAAAAAAACCCAGGGAAATTTGAAAGTGATCCCTAAGCTATTTTAAAAATTTAAAACAAACCTATACTTATGTTTTTGTTAAATACGCATCAACACATATCTTAAGAATATCTGCCAAGGGGACTTTTTAACTCAAGGTTAATTAAGAGAACTGAAGAGCCAAACCCATCTGCATCTTTTCATATATTTGCAGCTGGAAATTCCCCCTGTAAATCACCCTTGGCAAACAACCTTGCAAATTTTTACACCTCCCAAACAAGTTCCCATATTGCAAGATGCCAGCAACTCTGTTTTGTCCTGTTTTCATCTCACAATGGTATGTCTGAGCACATGCAAAAAAGAATACCATGAGTCCATATCGTCAATCTATAAATGTCTTGCTTCTCCATCCTGCTCGCTCTCAAGAAGAAAAGAATCATAACAGCATACAAATTTAATTTCATGTAAAAGATCTGGCATCTAATGGGAGACATGGAACACAAGAGTCCAGACAGAAGGCCAGTGAACAGACGCTGCTGAGAACACAAGGATGTACCTACTAACTCATCACATAACGAATGATTGATTAGGGGAGGCATTCAAGACAGCAAAGGTCAGGGGCTCGGCCTACTTTCAAGTTTACTCATCAGTTATCATATTTTCTCACAACTTATAGCTCTGTGGCTGTGTCTTGCTATCTGCCCCAGAAGGGTTCTTGGGAAAATTATCTTACAAATATTATAGCTGGAGGAGTTTCCCTCACTCTGAATGGCTAGCTTTAAGGACCCAGTAAAAAGGGAAGCCAGGGTTAATTCACCAACTTCCTTTAGCCTGAAAGCTATCACCAGGGTCTTCCAATATCCAGGATTTCTGTAATAAACCTGCTGGTTGAAGAGTGAGAGGGATAAAAAAAAGAGGGTGAGAAAGTGAACAGGAGAGAAAGCTTTTTGAGAGGAGAAAGATGTGATTGGCAGATGAGGGACATAGTGGATCTTCTCTTATTTCTATTAAAGGTGTCTTCTTCCATGTTTTTGAGGATCTTTCTGTTATAAATACTAATTGTTCTGTAACATTCTGGGCACTGTTCTTTCCCCTTTTAGTCTTTAAGTGGACAGGTGGGATACAACATATTTTGTGTATTTTCATCCAGAAGGTAACAACAGCAGCTAACTACTGGGAATCGTGTGTCCAGCAAAAGTTGTTCGACTGCTAATATCCCAGGATGAAAAAGATCAAGGGAATGCTGCCTCTTTAGATATTACAGAGCCCAAAAAAGGTTCAACATCAGTTCAGAGTCAGGGATGGGAAGTTCAGCTCACAGCTTCTCCAACACAGTAAGGACTCGGCGGCTGGGATTCCATTTGGATGGGAACTGACTTTAAGGAAAAAGAAGGACTGCAAAGGACACGAGTTTCTTTTAAAAAATTACATTTTGGGCAGCCCCGGTGGCACAGCGGTTTAGCGCCACCTGCAGCCCGGAGTGTGATCCTGGAGACCCGGGATCGAGTCCCACATCGGGCTTCCTGCGGGGAGCCTGCTTCTCCCTCTGCCTGTGTCTCTGCCTCTCTCTCCACCCTCTCTGAATGAATAAATAAATAAATCTTTAAAAAAAATTACATTTTGATCTTTTCACTGTGACTAAAGGCAATTAAGCCACCACTCACTAAAGAGTAATGTATAAATCTGTGTAAGAATCATGTAATATATGTTACATAAAAATATGTAAAAGTATATGTAACAATTTAGAAAGAAAAAAAATAACTGTCCGATAAATCTAGGTAGGACAGGTTGAAAGGTAAATGCACTCCACTATGTGTATGTTGCTTTATATTATAATCGTGCATTTTGTTTTATTTATTTTTTTAAGTAGGCTCCATGCCCAGCATGGGGCTCAACCCAGGGCTCGAACTCATGACTCAGTTCAAGACCTGAGCTGATATCAAGAGTCAGGCTCTTAAGCAACTGAGCCACCCCAGCGCCCCCTACAATTGTGCACTTTAAATCTCCCTTTAACTGTGTGAGAATAAATTATACTACAATGTTTAAAGCTATCACACTTGAAACTGATGGGAAAGTCAAAGAGTCATAACATGAAGCCACAAAATATGACCACAATGGGCAGTGGAATCATTCTGAGAAAATGTTCCACAAACCCTGCATGTAGCTTTAATTAAAGGCAGGATGAAAGCTGCTATTTCTTCAAATAAAACTAAAATGATACAAGCATGAATGATTTGCAAACAGCTTCGAGAAATCCACCAGCCTGCCACCAGAAATCACTATTTGTGTTGTTTTTTCTATTTCTGTACTTTTAACATATCTTGAAATGGAAAGTGAGAGTTACTAAGAGATCATTTAAGTAAATTCAGTTTTTCCCTGTGAGAGGCCAGCAGCACTGCAGTTGAAGAGAAAAATGGGATTTCACATGCTGGCCATCACGCTCCTTACCTTGCACAGCCAAGCCGGCCAGCCGGATCACCTGTTCCAACGTACACCGCAACCGGCCTTCAAGCACGTCTTTTTTGACTTGCAGGTAATACTGATATCTGTTCATGGGAACAGAGGAACAAATAACCTTAAAAACACACACTTGAAATATGTTCCCACAGGATCAATGTTTCTAGATGTAAAACTCTGTATACACAGCAGGACATGCAGGCGATGCTGAGAAAGGTCAGTCCTGTAAAAGATGGAATGTGCCCTCTGCCTGTGTTTATCTCTGTGTGATGTGGCAGGTGCCACATCCTGTGCATTCTCAGTTTGAGAGCATTCATCAAATCATCTCATTGTAGATCAGCAGGATGAATTACTTGATAAGGACCAGTTCTTCATAACAGAGACTGGGAAGGAAAATGCTCTTGCACACCTGGACACCCACGGCAGCACAGCTGCCAAACCTACATCCAACACTGGTGCATTCCTAAAAAAAATTATGGAAACATGCCATTTTTTAAGCTCAACAGTTTGGTGGGGTGAATCACAAACAGGCCACATAGTTTGGCATTCTGCTAGTGGATGGGATAAAGTTTTTCAGAGCCAGGCTCACCCGACAGGTCTGTGCCTCACAAAAACCCAACCCGAAGAACATTCCCAAACCAGCCAAGTACAGGTAAATAGAGTGTGCCCATGTGCAACATCAAATATCAGAGTGGACCACTGTCCTCAGAAGCCAATACAGTGCATTGTTTCCTTGCCAACAAAACTGTACTTAGAATTACCTAAACATTTATGGGCAGCCCAAGTGGCTCAGCGGTTTAGCGCTGCCTTCAGCCCAGAGTGTGATCCCGGAGACCCGGGATCGAGTCCCACATCGGGCTCCCTGCATGGAGCCTGTTTCTCCCTCTGCCTGTGTCTCTGTCTCTCTCCCTCTCTCTGTGTCTCTCATGAATAAATAAATAAAATCTTAAAAAAAAAAAAAGAATTACCTAAACATTTAGAAATCTCCTCATCCCCAAACGTTTCTTCCTAGGACTCTCCCCTTCCCTTGAAAAACACAGTCACCTCTATAACAGACTTTTCCTAGCCTTAATTCTTAGCAAATGCTAACAACCTTTCTGCTCTGGGTAACCGTAACACTCTACTTTTTCTAAATTTGGACATGTCAATCCAGGGAGCTCAAGAGTGATCCAAAGCTCAACTCTTTTAAAGAGAGGCAACCAGCACTGAGAGCTAATTATTGTTGTCTCTACCTTGGCATCATGAATATCATTACATAGCAATCCGATGCCTATTTGAGGGAAGGTCTCGGGTTTTCTGCCTCCTTCCAAAGAGTCTCTATTTCCTGTCTCCTCCTTGGACTAGATGGGGTACAGATAGCCATGTCAGTCCCTGGTGGGAAAAACCTATTCTCAAGTCACAAGGACCAACATTGAGTTATTTGAAAATCCTTTTTAGTAAAACCTAGTAGGTAATAGAAAAACAACATGTTCTTCCTACTACCGTCCTACCTGTCCCCTAAAATTATTCATAATCATTTTATAGGCGCCACTACTGGATCAGTCATTATACTTCCATCCTGGTTCAGGTTTTACTGAGATTTCTCCCAGGATGAACTAAGGGTGCATCAGATTATACTGTTAGATGTGAATCTGTTATTTATGGCTGTAAAACCCGAGCTCCACTACTGATTAAATCAACTAATATATACAATAAGTATCTACGTTGATTTTCAGAGACAAGTCCTTGGTAAGTGTAGAAAAGCTCTGTGCCCACTCCTGCTCTGAGACTAGCAGACACGGCTCCATTTCACCTAGTTATTATATCCTTAGCTGGTTAGGGGCGTCATGGATTCTAAGTCCTTATATATAAGAACATATGGTTAAAAGTCCTTTGCTGGTTAAATAAAGTAGCAGTGCTGCTGTTTCTGAAAGTGCACAAACAGTAAGGAGGAAATACTAGGTAGGATACTTTTTTTTTAAAGATTTTATTTATTCATTCATGAGAGAGAGACAGAGAGAGAGAAGGGAGGTGGGGGGTGCAGAGACACAGGCAGGCTCCATGCAGGGAGCCTGACATGGGACTTGATCCTGGGACTCCAGGATCATGCCCTGGGCCAAAGGCAGGTGCTAAACCGCTGAGCCACCCAGGGATTCCCTAGTAGGATACTTTTAAGGACCTTGTGAAACGGAAGACGCTGCCTGTGGGGGGGGCGGGGGGGTAGTTTTGGGCAATCATCTGCCATGGAAGTTAAAGCAAAAGTCATAACCTATTTGTTATGCATAGCAGAGAATCAGAGTAAAGGAACACATGTTGAAGCAGTAAAGAAATACCAAGAGTAAACCAAAAGAGCAAAGGCTAAAGAGATCTGGTTTGCTGTGGTTAAAATATGCCACATGTTATCTTCTGATTCTCTTTCTTCACCTGTTCACTCAAGTCCCCAAGCTCAGGTACATTCAAGTTTATTTTCAAATGTTTCACCCCAGGTGAGTCAACACTACAGAAGCGCGGTCCTGCACACTCCTATGATACAAGAGCCTGCTGTTTGTCTGTCTGCTTCTCTCCCATTCCAAGCTGTGCACAGGGTCAGTGTTGAGGATCCCAGGTTCTGTGGTTTTATCCAGAGCTCCAACAGAAATGGTTTACCTTAGTGCCTTTGCTTCAAGGAATATGTACCCGGCCAACTGGAAGCAAAGCTTGGGTTTTACAGCCTTAAATAACAGAGTCACATCTAACAGTATAATCTGATGCACCCTCTTAGTTCATCCTGGGAGAAAACTCAGTAAAACCTGAACCAGGATGGAAAACCTGGGCTTCAGAAGCTTACTTCCTTTTCCATGGGGCACAGCACGTTTCCTGTCTGTTCCCTTCCCTCAGGGTTCCTCCTCAGCACCGTCTGCCAAGTTCTTCCCTGTTCCCCAGCCTGACTCTCCGTTTTCCTTCAGCATCTGTCTTGTGCCTCTGGGCCAATTCTCAAGGAAACAGGAAAAGCTCCACTCATTCGTGTAAGGTCACTTTCCCTTCAAGAGGCTGGGACCTGCCCATGAGCCTTTCGGAAGCTCTTTCATGCTTCTAACCTAGCCAATTCTTAGGCAGGAGATCACCTCCTTGTGGACACCGAGGCGGGCCAGGGGGTCGTAGGTCAGCAAAAGATCCTCTCGAGTGACAAGAGTTCACTGTGAACTTTGAAGAGGAGCCACCTAGAATCTGAAGACCATACTTCTGAAAGTGGGAGAAGAAGAAGAAAAGAAGGACGAGGAAGTGTTACCTCATCTTATTGCCAGATGATCCTGCTGTGACTTTCTCCAGGAAAAGGTAAAGGATATTAAAACCAAACAAACAAAACAACCAAACAACAAAAACAAATGCCACCCCCCGCCCCCCACAATTTCGGTATAGGAAAGAATCTTAAGTTTACTGAAGAAATGTGCAATGGGATTCTCAAAAAAGAAAAACAGAACAAACCAGAACACACAATTTCAAGGTAGGAAAAAGTGGTAAAGGTCACCTACCCCTCCTAATCTACAATACCAAATCTCTTCTATATGCCATCCACTCCTTACAATCTTGAGTGGTTTTTTTTTTATTTAATTTAGATAAGGGGGAAGGGGCAGAAGGAGAGGGAGAAGGAGAGAGACAATCTTCAAGCAGACTCCCAACTGAGCAGGGAACCCATCAATCCCAGGACCCCAAGATCATGACCTGAGCTAAAATCAAGAGTTGGATGCTTAAATGAATGCACCACCCAGACACCACCCCATCCTGAGCAGTTTTGACTTATTTTCTGCTCCCCAAGCCCAGGAGAAACATGGATATCCACATTTATTAAGTACTCCTGTATGCAGATGTTGGATAGATGCAGAGGGACACCCTGGAGAGGTTTACGACGGTCTCTGCCTTGCAGGGATGCTCATCTTCTCTTGAACCACTGATGTCATGGTTCTCTCTAATGTGCTATGAAGGGCTTGATTTCCAAGAACCAAAGAGTAAAGCATTTTAAAAGGTGTTACCCTAGCATTATCTGCCATAGCTAGAGCCTTTGGTGGGCTGACACTTCTGGGAATATAATCCGCAGGATCCAGCAAAACAATAGTGGTAGTTTTCTTATCCTGCTGGTCCCAATTTCATCTATAGCTAACACTTTTATAACATACGGGGCAGTTCTAGAACAGATCCACTCCATTCTAGGCAACAGTGTGTCTCAGCCCACTAGCAAAGAACACCAGGATTGTTCCTGGTCATCAGGTTAGACATAGGCTCCTACGGGATACAAGACTGAGGAGCTGTTGAATGCATAACTCTTTCCCGGAAGCCACCCAGACTACGAGAGAATCTGAACAGCGTTAATGATACACTGCTATTCCCACGTGAGATTGTGGAGATTACGATGTGAGATTGCAGAAATGAGAACAAAATCTGGACCACTTTGGAAATTGGTACATTTTGGCTCAAAAGCCATTTTTGTAAAGTATAATAATTCTATCCTATATGAAGACTAAATTAGAGAATATGAGCTGAAATTCTATTTCTAGAATGTTTGGGTTTTGCTTATTTTTGATTAGAGATTCAATTCTAACGGCAGTAAAATATAACAGTGAATCCTATTTTGGAAACATGCAATTTCACGGAAGTATACTCCACCCTGTCATAGCTCTGGGTGGAGGAGGAAAAAAAAAACACACCAATCTTCATGCCAGGAAAGTAAGTATTTGCCAACTTTCCAAAGGGATCCTCTTTGAAAACCCAAGCTCACAAGGAAAACTTTTTAATATTTTTCATATTCAAAGACCCTGGAAATAGTCCATCTGACTGCTGGGGTCCAGTGAATAGTTTTAGGTTAGGATTCTACTCTCCCTCTAAGAACTGGTAAATATAACTATGCTTGTTGAATAAAGGTAAAATGTCTATTCTCAAAGTGTTCTGTTTTGTTTTTAATCCATAGAGATTAAAATTCAGGTTTCTCTAGGGAAAACAGAAAAGCTTCCTGATAGTCAGTGCTATTAAATATTATTAACTGGAAACTGATAGATAATATGAACCAGTTGTTGGATGTCTCATCTATCTGGGATAGTTCCCCTTCAATCTTGAGAAAACAAGTGACTTCTCCATG